CTTTGGTGATGCTCTGACTTTCCATCTACCACAGGGGTTTTCAGTTTGATACTCTGGACTTTCTCTCCCCTTCTCGCCAAAATTGAGACAACTGTGCTCCTGAACGCTTCCTGTTTACTCTAATGACAGAAATGATTGATAATGATCCAATAAAACAGTAATGAATGAGTGGATTTTTGTCAGTTCTCTTACTCCTGCTTGAGGCTTAATGAACTGTCCATCGTGAGTCTGACTGTTGTAGACGCGACATGATGAATCTGTGGGGGACTCTTTTATAATAACAAATAAAGATCTGTAGGTTTGAACAAACTTTAAAGTTTATACAGACTGTGAGAGAAGAAAATACAAACCCTGCTGAGTGTTTGTCTCTGGGTTGTAGGATCCAGACGCACCTGTGACAGTTGATGTATGGACATCTTGAACACATGATAATGAAGGGTTAAATGTGAACTGTGTGCGAGGATGATATCTGAAAATCGGACAGGCAATAATTCAGTGAACTCACCCTTTAATCTGTGATTTATTATTAGCTTCCGTACTGAGAAGCTGCTAATGAGCTGGTTGATGAGGAGATAAAAGATGGAAACATAACGTGTTGTTAACGGAGGAGGAGAGGACAAGTCCAGCAGTCAGAGAAGAAACGGAGACAGAGACAGACGTCTACCTGGACATGGATCACCTGCTGATGGTGCTGCTGCTGTGGAGCTCAGGTAGGACTCTCCTTTAATGATGGGTATTAATTTCATTTTTCTCTTCCCATTAAGTTTGTCTGACCTGTGTGATCATCGGGCTGCTCCTGTTAATGGAGGGTATCATTAAGATTTTAAAGCTACTACGTGTATTGATCCGGTACTTTAACGGTTCTCTTATCGGCACTTTTTGACATTTTGTAAAAGGATTAAGGAAATTAAGATTTTCTCATATGCACTCGATTAACAATGACCCACTGGTTAACATGACGGAGAGCTGCCCCGCCCCTCATAGACACAGTCTGAGAGAGGAAATGTCACTTGACATTTTTAGCAAATATGTTTCCCTTTACACGCTTGATAGTTACAAACCACAATTAAATGCTAGAATCAGATTTACATGGAAATAAATTTGTTGCTAACACACAACAAAACTTGTAAAAAGAGCTGAGGAGTTAGCTTTCCAAGGCAGGTGCAGCTAGCTTCAGCATGCATCATGAGGAGTCAGTGTTTTACTCACCATTTTATTTCTCTTTCAGCAACATGGTGAATATTACTATGAAACGTACATTTTAAACATCAAATACACACAACACAAGTAAGTTAGCTCACCGAGGCAGGTGAAGCTGTAGCCGTTGCAGAATGGTAGAATGGTAGGGTGAAGAACACCAATCACACCAGGGATCAGGATCTGCACATTTATTCTCAAAGAGCAGCAAGGGGCTCAGTCAAGCTTTTTATTTATTTTTTTTGTATGTATGTACTTGAAAATTCATACACGTGTATTATAAATAAATGCAATCAAAAGAATGTCTTCACAGCAGTTATATTAAAAGCAAAAATGAAAAAACTAAATATTCATGTAAATAAATTTCAACGTCTTCAGCAGACACCTCAACTCAATTTATATATAAATGTAGGCATATAATAACAAATTAAAATAAAAAATAAAAAGCTTGTTTCATATTATTAGGCTACTCATTCAGTACAATATTTCACTGAATGAATGAATAATTTAATTTAATAAAATAACATGTATTTGATTTAAGTGTATTTTTTGCTTTACTTACTAAAACTGTTACATGGAAATTCTGTGAATTAAATCATTTTCTTTAGGGAGCAAAGAAACACAAAGACTTATAGGATTAAATCCTATAGGATAAATTTATAGCATTAGATGCATTTCTATAAGCTTAAATGATCATATGATAGTCCTCTTGGTTCTTATAGTCCCATAAGATATATCGCAACGGTAGAGGATTTTATCCTATGTAAAATATTAAAGGACATAACCTATAGGATCATGTATAAGATATTATCCTATAGGATTATAAATAAAAATTTTTGGAAACTAATAAGACTTTTTGACTAGGGATCCTACAGTAATACACAATAATAATAATACACTGGAACATTACATATAACAACAAATAAACAACCATTACGCACCTAGAAGAGCAGGAAGTGGCACAGTCAACAGTCACACAATGGCGGGCTATCTCACTCTATGAAAATTGTGTATGTATTTTTTTGTATATTATATTGAATACAATATACAAAAAAAATAACGGGAGTTATTTTTACCGGCTGTACGAACTGTAAAACTCAGCAATACACCAACAATGATCTATAGTTACGTTTACACGCAGTTTAAACCAAAAGAAATTAGTTTTAAACGTGCTAGCTTAACAAAAAGGGAACACGTCTTACCAGCACAGACGTTTTCCCGCTGCACAGCGTCTTTTGTGCGTCGTTAATTAAATCCCCCCGTGCTACAGCAGGACGTGAACGGGAACTATAAAAAAAAACAAAAAAAAACAAAAAATCCATTCAAAATGGAGCCAGAATTACAAAGAATTTCCGACTTTATGACTAAAAAACATTACAGACAAGTTTTTAGTTTTCTCAGCTTTAGTGAAGCTCAGTGTTGTTACACTGAGCATCTGCAAAACATTTTGTTAGATTTCATAAAGGCTGGGACTGGGTAAAACGAGAGATTAAATTATGACAACTGTAGTATCTAATAACAGAAATAAAAATAAAACTTAAGTCTATAATTCAAGTGTTTGTAACTGTAACTTAAATTTTAACCTGTTTTTGTCCCGCAGGGTTATACAGTATAGGTCAGGGGTTTTCAAAGTGTAAGCAAAGGTAAGATAAACTAGGAAAATACCATTATCAAAATCTATTTTGTTTGGTGTCCGACTCACTCTGGTGTGTTCAATAATCATTTGACTTAAGTAAAATTGCACACAAGGGCCTTACAATGTATGATATGGTATTGTATATAAATGTTTAAATATGACATTTAAAAAGTAAAGAGAAAGATGATTAAAAAGTTTAAAAAAAATGTTTTTAAAAAAGATGTTTGATATGTTTACAATATGTTGAAAACCATTTAACATGCCTGAGTGGAAAATAGAGTATAGCAACACTACTCACCTTCTCACACTTTGAAAACCCCTGGTTTAGATTCTTAGAAATTGTACTGTAAATTGTACCCTTTGTAAAGTGCACTCTAACTTTCTACTGAAAACTTAATGACATCTGATCTACAGGGCTGTGCAGTTACACCCGGTATTAGAATGTGTTCTCGTTATCTCAATTGTGCTCACATTGTGGTCGAACTTAAATATTCAAATTGGTCAGAGAAGGTTGGTTGAACCGTCAGGGCTGTAGCACTGACTCTACATTTCCCTTTGTCAAGCTCTGGAGCTTGTGTTGGGCTTGCTCCAATTGGCAGGAAGAGACAGAGTTGAACTTTCAACTGATGTTTTTTTCTTCATACTGTGGTCACACTGTACAGACTGCATTTATACCTGCTGGGATCAGTTCACAATGCAAGCCGCAACACCTTCAGATGTGGTCTGGCTGATCTGATCGCATTCTGGTCCCAATGCGTTGTGTGCTCATTTACACCTGTTTTAACCAGGTGTTAACACCAGAAGTAAAGGCCGTCTCTAGCTTGCCTAAAAGAGTGAAAAAAAAGTGAAAGAAAAACACCAATAATGATTATATTTCACATCTTTATTCTGATAAGCCCAGTTTGAAAACACATACAAAAAAAAAAAAAAAAACACAAATATACATATTAAGTTTAAAAAAAAAAAAAAGTCCCCACACACTTGAGAAGTCAGAGAATCCGTAATAAAAACAAGACTTTGTCTCCCATTAACCTGAAGACAGAAATAAATACAGTTACAGCCATTAAATCCATCAGTGCAAAACATTTCCTTAGACTTAACAGGGAACAAAGGCACATTATCATTGTTCAGTGCTGCTGCTGTGAGCTTGAGCCATTTTAAAAGCCCTCCTGTTGTTGCATTCAAGGACACTCCGATGTATGATGAGCTGCATTACACTGACAGCCTCTGCTGTTAGAGTCCATTTAAAAAGAAATTTAAAACAAAGGGGAAAATATATCTAAAGTGTTACTGTGGACTGGATTATTTCAGATTTTCTTTCATTAAAAAAAAGGTGTTCAATTGCAACTGCAGAGTATTTGAACACAACAGAGATTTTAAAGGATTGTTAATTATCTATTCAAGTTATCTTCAAACAGAAATCACATGCTGACATGGATATTTGGTTTTTGGCTGTAATCGTTCCTCCAGTTCATTCTGGCTGTGAAGAGATTAAAACAGAAGAAGTGATGGCGTTATGTGTAATAATGATACAGCTCAGAGTTAAGCTAAAAACCATATCTTCCAAAGTTCAAAGTCTTTTAGTGTGAAATTCTCCTTTCTATAACTGTAGTCCTGTCGTGGCTCAACAAGAAAACACAGAACGTGGAAACGCAAAGATTTATTCTAGAAAAACCAAAACTCTGGAGGAGCCTCATTTCATTGTCTCAACACGATATTATCTTCACCTGACTAAAAATGTTTTAATACACACAGCATGCGAGGGCTGTATTAAGATACTCTTGAAAAAAGTGTGAGCCCACCCTTTAAAACTGCTCACATCGGGATAATGTTAATGTAACCAATAAAAAGAATAATGGGCTAAAACATGAAAAACCAACAGTGAGAAGGACTTTTAAACACAGCAAATACAAAACAACACTGATATAAAAATATTAACTATTGACAGAAAACTTCAACATCACACTCAGAGCTGTCAGTGTGTTTGTTTTCCACAGGAAAATGACACAGATCACATTAGGTCTGAAGGGAGGGAAGTGAGTTTAGTCACTGTTGAGATGATCAATTCAATAAATCGATTCAGAGTTATTTAGGCACCGTTAGCAGCGAGTGGCTGATGCAGGAAACACGTCGAGGAAAGAGCAGCAAAAACGATGTTGGACGGCGTCTCCGTCATCTCCGCACTGTGTATTAAATAATCCAACATTAGTCTGCACAGCGTCCTCACACGTCGCTGGGCGTCCCGTGTACTCTGAAGCGGTACATGCAGGTGTACTCCTGGTGACCCCAGTTGGACAACACCTGCACCTCGATGATCTGGAAGCTTTCATCGTTCTCCTCCTGTCGAGGAAAAAAGGACATAGGACAGAAATATATATATATATTTTTTTTTCTTCCCCCCCAGTAGATCATAGTAGAATATAACAATATCCCGAATAATTAAATTCATAAATTACTGAGAGCTGGATAAGAGGCAGAAAACGCAATGATTAAAAATTATTTAAGTTTCCTCTAAAACCTGGACCTGTTCCACCTTCCACCTGTCCCAACTGTTACAGCTAAAAATACCTGATTTCACCGCAGCTTTTCTCAAAAGTTGGGATGAAAGTTACAATGTCTTTAGATGTTTTTTTGCAATGAAACTGCAGGAGAAAATAAAAAAACTGCAAAAATTGTTGCTAACTTCATTAAAAATAACAATTATAATAATAATTAATTAAAAATGGGAGGCAACTGCTCCAGTGAGAATAAATCCAGTGCAGTCACAAATCTTATTAGGGAAAAAGAACAAGAGATTCTGCTCCTGTGCTCTGTCTTAATCACAGGTAGAGCTGATCTCTATAATAATCAATTTATAACATTAAAAAACATCTCTACACCACAATGTTGCAACAATTAAACTCGTTTTGGGAAACTTTGACGACTTTTGATCAACTATACGGAAAAGTTGCGGTCTCTTTAACACCGTTTTTATCCACTGATGGTGCATATAAGAGCAGCATATGGCAGCACACTGCATGGATGACTCACAGTGACGGGGTAGGTCTGCAGAGCCTCTCCATCCTCATCATAGGTGTAAGTGCCCAGCAGCTTCCCTCTCTCCTGGCTCTCATCATCCAGACCCTGAAAGCAAAACATCAGTTGAGTGCAAAACAGACTGAAGTTCCAAACGGCGTCTTTCTGACAGGTCGTGGTGACAGCTGCCCCTCTCTTACGTAGATGTCGAAGCGTCGGGGGGCGCTGCGCAGCGTCCCACTGGGTGCCAGGGCTTTGGGGATGTGCTCCAGGGAGAAGGCGGTGGGAAGGATCCTCATGGAGAGGCGGATCACCAGAAAGCCTTTGGAGCCTCTGAAGGCCCAGCAGTTTCCGGGATGGATGTCCGGCTGCAGGAAGACAGAGCATGAGTGGAGTGTGACTGCTCCATCAGTGTCATTTAGTCTGAGGAATCTGACTCTGGTTTGTTTTCTGTTGTCGTATGATCGTTAGAACAAAACATGTTTCAAACAAAACTTAAACATTCTTTGGTAACAATATTCTCATTCAACCATGAATAGAACAGGTCCCTGTTTATCAAGTGCGAATAACCCATCAATTAAATTTCAAATAGTGCAAATCAAAGCGTTAGTCTTGTGTGATGTGTGTTTGGTGTAGGACAGGTGTGTTACCTGGATTACTGCTCGAGGAGACTGAGAGAAATACCAAAGAGGAACTCCGAACAGACTGAGCAGAGCGGCCTTCGTCTCATACGCCTCCGAGCAGCGAGTGCTCAGGATGCTGCCCCCTGCAGGACGAGCGCAGACAAACAACAGTCAGCTGTGGATCATGGCAACAGGAGGGATTTCACATCAGGTCAATGGTCATGAGGTGACTGGCTGACATGTTCCTTCATCACCGTGAACACACACTGTCCTGCTGCCACAAATACTCACTACAACACCAAATGTGGATTAATCCGCCACTGAAAATATTCCCCGACAAATGCTCCATTACCTCCTGTTTGATAAAAACGAGTGAGCAGCTGTTTGAGGAAATTACTGAACCTTTTAAAAATGAAATTGTATTTTTATGAGGTGTTTTGAAAGGTTTACGTAGGAACCAATGAGCTCAGAGCCGAGAGCCACAGAGAGAGGAGGGAACACAGCCAGTGTTGCTGGTTTGAATCTAAACATGAGATTTGATGACAGTAATATAATAAAACTATAGAACAACAGACTGTTCCTTTAGCATGTCACATCATCAGATTATCAGTCAGACACACTGGGAGAGTTTATTTCTCACCTCCAGACTCCAGAGCGTAGTCGGCCAGGCCGGTCCGGTCCTGAGAAAACAGCCGCAGAGCGTTCTCCACGATCACATGGACGTCCTGAAGAGACGAGTGAGTCGCTGCTTACTCAACTGTCAGGAGCGGGAACTTATTTGAGCAGGAACTTGTAATTATACTGTTTGAAGGATATCGAAGTATAAAAATATACAAACACCCTCAAAGCAAGGTGGACACATCGTACAGAGTCAAGACGAGATTAAGAGACAGTGGACAAGTCAATATTCATGATAGGGACAGACCCCCCCACCCCCCCACCTCACCTCCTGGGTTATGGTGGCCCCAGCAGCTCCAGGGGTTTGCATTACGGCCTCTCTGACCACCTCCTCGCTTCGCCGCTGCTCCAGCTGCAGGCTGATGTTCTGCAGGATCCTGAGCTCCAGAGAGGCCAGCGCCTCCCGCAGGTCGGCCCCACTTACGTACCGCTGCGACAGCCACTGGAGGAGCGACTGTGGGAGGGTGTTGGCGTCTGCCCCGCCCCCCACCGTCAACTGGTTCCCATAGACGAGAGCCCGGACCTCCTCACGGACCTGAGTGGAGACCTGCGCTGAGAGCTGACAGAGGACATGAGAGGCTCCAGTTACCAGAGAGCAGTCTGATAATGTCGAGGTTATTCCTTCATAGAAATGAGAATATTCAACATGATCTGGACACGATTGTTCAACTTGTCTCAGCTATCTGCTCTCTAGCTAGCTAACGACAGCTAACATGGCTAACCGCGCTGCTTCTCGACTGTGTAGTTTAATACCAAACGCCTTCGCTCTCACCGTCTGCTGGATTCCGTTGAGACGTCGACAGCCGTCCTCGAACCCAGACAGACCCTTAACATCCTGCCTCATATCCCCCAGAGCCGCCTCCAACCTCGCTACCTGTGCCAGCAAGGCATCATGGGACTGACGGTCCACGCCGGCACTGGAGGAGGAAGTCAGTAAAGAGGAACAGGCTTTACATACTGACACGCTGCTTTGATTCATGTCCACGGGTGTTATGTTCCTGTGCGGGTCACCTGACGGCAGCTGGAAGTGTTGCAGGTGGAGGTGAGGCTGTTGGAGCAGCTTCTCGTCTCCACTGCATCTCCTGAAGTTTCAGAAACAAACAATTATCCTCCGTCAATAGGTCACTTTAGTGAACTACACTGTAGATTCTTCTGGTTTTACAGTCGGAGAACGTGACAGTCAAACATCAAAATGTTCGACACTCGGCCCAAGTCGTTTCTGAACTTCCATTTCTTCTCGTGTGGGCGTGGCTTACCTCTGTTTTGGCAGCCAGTGCCTGCAGCTGCAGCTCCAGCTGCTGCAGACGAGACGTTTGACTCTGCTGCTGCAACAAATCCTGCTGTCGAATCTACACACACACACACACACACACACACACACAATGCTCAAGATCCGAAACATTACAACACCTGCATGCACCTGTCCCCGTCACCTCACAGGATATCTGACTCCACATAACCCCCCTTTAAACTCAACTGGATTGATGTATTTGTATTTTCCTCATTAGCACCAAATTTCATATTGAAGTAACTTTTAGGAAGTGATAAGAATATCATGGACCCACAAAATAAAGCATCAACAAATTATTCACACAAAAAGCAAAAAAAGACACAATAAATCTATAATTTAGTGCAGTAGAAAAATCTTCTTCCATCCAGTTAATCATGTTGTGACCCCGACATCCTGATGAGTCCAGTATCTGACCTGGTCCTTCTGCCGTCTCTCCTCATCCAGTTGCCTCCTGAGCTGGGACAGCTGATGGTCCAGCAGGCCGCTCAGCCAGGGCTCCACGCCGTCCTCCCTGCCCCGAGCAGAGGCCAGCTGCTGCTGCTGGAGGTCAGTGTACAGCCGGAGAACCTCCCTGTGTCTCTGCTCCGCCCGCCGCCCTCCGGCCTCCACACGCTCCCACAGCGCCGTCAGACTCTGCTCCAGACGAATGAGCCGGGCCAACTCTTCCTGGGAGACAATGAATACTTTAATGTAAACAGCAGTATTGCAGTGTAAGCAATATAAGTCTATATAAACAGACTGTCCACCGGTAGAATATGAACCCACCTTTTCAAAACGTCATATCCAGGAAAAATACCTACTTGTCCTGATATAAGATTGATTAATTTTCAATTAAATCCACAAATCACGAGTCTGTTAATGTAAGAAGGTCATGAAAAATATCCAGTAGCCCTGCCAATTAATCAAAATATAATCGAAATCACAATATGGCCAAGTGTAATATCCTAATCGCAGTAGCTGCAATTTTTTTTGTGAAAGGTAAAATGTGTCACATCGCTGTTCGTTAGCACCATAAGAGTTGTGGTGCTACAGAGGCGTTCCTCATATTCTCCAGACGTAAAGGAACATGTACATCACAATCTGCCAAAGTAATCACAATATGATTTTTTTGTACATCGTGCAGCCTTAATATCCAGTTTCCCTGAATCTGTTTGCTGCTTTCAGTGCGTCATTTCTGTCCAGTGCTCTTCCTGCTTTCACTGGGATCTTTTTTAGCATCTTTGACCATCTGCAAAAACACTGTAAATAAGTTGTATGAAATATTTTTTCTTGTCCGTCCAGAAGAAACTCAAGCATGTTAAGGTTACTGACGTAAAACAGTGGAAACATTACAGAGGGATGAAAGGTGATTTTATCCTTTTTCTGTCTATTGATTAATTGGTTCAAAACTGTTTCAGGAGTAAAGACTCGACATGAACCAGTTGAAACACACAGGACCTGCTCTGCAGAGTCAGTCTCATGATGAATATAAATACTGAAACACACATTAAAAACCTCAGTACCTCCTCCGCTGTCGGCGTCTCTGCTGCCGGAGGTCGACTGTAGAGCGGCTCCACGTAGGGCTGCACCTCCCTCGACTCCTCTACAGCGCCCTCAGCTGATTGGCTCTGAGCGGACATGAAGCTGTACATGGGGGACAGACCGGGGACGTCAGAGACCGCCGTCCTCCACTCTGTGATGTTCACAGCTGGAAGGACGGACTGTAGAACAGCTGGACCGAACCAACACAGGCCTGAAGGGGGGAGAACGAAAACCTTCAAGTCTGAAAAACTGTGCAGGTCATGAAATTAGGTAAATGTACAAGTTAATATCAGAGAAACATCCCGACTATATACAGGTGAATTTAATCAAAGCCTTAGATCTCAGGTGAAACACGTGAAGTAAGTTTTAGTCTGTCAGACCAATAAACAGTGAAGACGCACAACGAACAACTGTTTTTATTAAATATTCATCTGCTGATTTTCATCAATAACATCAATGAATCATTTGGTCAAAACGTCAGAAAGTTGAAAACTACTAAATTTACAGTCAGGCGACAAGAGGAAAAGTTTTCTGTTGATCGACTGATCGATTGATCGTTGCGTCTCCAGTGAAGATATGAAACTGAAGGAACTCACTGAACAGGAGAAGCAGCAGAGGGAGGAGAATCAAGAAGAGCCGCAGAGGGAACCTGCAGGGAGAACACGTCCGGTTAATCAAAACAATAAACACAAGACGGAGTTTGGTGACGTTGTGAAGCAGCGTGGGATCATGGGAGTTGTCAGCTTCTCCTGGTTTTATCCTTTAGTGTTTAAAGTCACAGATTTCTTTGGTTTAAGAATTGATGGAAACAGAACATAGATCTTGTTGTTAATGCAGTAAATGTGGTTATTTTACCTTTAATTTAACAAATGCAGTAGTTAACATACTTAACTGCGTCAATGTCACTAAATGTCTAATATAATGAGTGTTTGCTTTTGCAGATCCAAACTAAGAAGTTGCTTCATTCAGGTTTTAAAACAATGTCGAGTAAATTAGGATGGACTGAGACGGAACAGTGACGTAACAACCTCCAAATTTAACATTTAGGCAAGTATGAAGAACTGTGACTTTGCCTCCTACATAAGAGAAATAAGATTATTTAGAAAGATAAATAATCAGCAACACAGTCGAGGAACAAGGGGCTGATGTTCTGAGGATGGTCACCTTCATCAATAGATCTCTGGGAATAAATTAATTATTTTATGTCCTGTCTAGGCTCAGAGTAATACAAGTTTGTCATCTAAAATGTTAGTTTTAATAATTTCAGTTTTACCTCGTCAATATACAAACGTATGCAGCAAAGCACAAAAGAAATCTTGTCATATCCATGTTGTTCTCAAGTTATGATGTCACATGATGTGTCTTACACACACACACCGGGTACCGTGGCGATGGGACATATATCAAATAAAAACAAGCAAACTTACCGAGTCAGGAGGAAGCTGGTGGCCATGTGATGCCATTGTCTGCCAAGCCACCTGAACACCTCCCCTGCTGTTTCTCACACACACACACACACACACACACACACACACACACACACACGAGAAGATCAGTGGAACATCAGCTGACTCGGGTTCAGCAGCGGAGCAGGAGGCTGCAGGTCACCAAGCAGGAATGTTAGATAAATAGGCACGACAGACAAAACACCCAAAATCCAACAGGAGCTCCGACACAAACATGCTGCATGTCAGGCGAAAAGCGGAGGGATCAACCGGGGAAGAGAATTTCAAAATAAAACAAAACAGAGACATGGTGTTAACCTGCAGAGCGTCCGGCGCTCCGTGAAGCAGAACACATTTTCTTGGTGAGAGGCCAGACGGCTGAAGCTGCTCTCTGAGTCAGCTGACAGAGGTACAGAGCTGAGGAAGCAAACAGGCATCAGACTGATGAAGAAAGAGATCCAGTATCTCAGGATTTGAAGAACACGTCCTGAAGAAGACGATTCCTCACAAGTTCTGTCGATAGTCGGAAACTTAAACTGTCTTTGAATATAACAGTCATTTTCAAACCTGGTGCCAAATATACGAAGGAGTATTAGGGCCATGGATGAGAAAAAGAGATTTTTTTTTTTTTTTTTAAATTTTAATTTTGCCTTGCGAGAATAAAGTTGACATTTCGAGATTAAACTCTTTTGAGACGATATCAAACAGCGCATATGACTACCTCTACAACATGCCTTGTGTAGATGAACTAGTGACACTGTACTTCAGAATCAGCTTTAGCAACAAAGAAATTCACAGTGTAGTTGTCAGTAGTAGTTGGACTGAAGAGATTGTGCTGAAAACTGCGTCTGTTCAGAAGGAAGAACCACACAACCTTGGGACAGGTGGCCACATTTGTGCAAACTGAAATAGCAGGTGATGGACAAATGCAAGGATGTCGTTGGTTACACCTGCGTGCAACTCAGAGGGGATATGTTGTATCACAAGACACAATAAGACAACTGATCATGTTGTTTGTTCCTGAAGGTGTGGAGCCCAGGCGGGCGCGGCGTCTGAGACTCAGGCATTACTGCAACAAAAGGTCCCAACGTGCTGTGGCACATGGATTCGTATGATAAACTGAAGTCGTACGGCATCACCATCAATGGTTGTATTGACGGTTTTGGTCACTATGTAGTGTGAATGGAGGCGTACAGAACAAACAACGACCCCAAAGCGATAGCAGACTACTTCATCACATCTACTGCGCGCTGACAGAGGCAAAGAAAATGAGGAGTTGACTTTAGTCACAACATTTCGACTTTATTCTCAAAATGCAAAATAAAAAAAATAAAATAAAAAAATCTTCCTCTTCTGAGTCGGTTGGACTTTGGGATATTTCGACTTTTTTTCTCGAAGTACTTTGTGGGGGGGAAAAAAAAAAAAAAAAATCTTCCTCCTAATTTTTTCCCTCATCCGGGGCCCTAAATCTCCTTCCTACAAATAAGGTCGAGTGTGGACAAAGAAAAATCTAGAAATGAAAAAATAACCATCAGCACATCTGTGATGCCTCTCCATGCTGGAGCTGAAAGACAGAGTGAAGTTCCTCTTTACACACAGCAGTCATACAGCTGCAGTGACTGTATTGTAGAAAAGATGGACACTGAAAACATGATACAGCCCTTGTATGTTTTGTCCCAGTATTAAAAAAGCACTCAAGACTCTGGAAGTAAAAGACTCTAAACCCCTGGTAAAAACTAAACTCATCAGCAGTTAGATCTGCAACTCAGACGAGTGTTAAACCTGTGAAAACCGTCACGCTCCACATCAGCCCCAAGAGACATATTGCCAGTGAGGACCATGACGATGAAGATGAAGATGAGGTGACAGTATCCATCTCTGGGCGCCGTTTCTCCTTACAGTCGTCACCTGTTGGCGTCAGCGGTGCAGACACACAACACAAGGCAGGGAGAGGTTGACCAAAGGTCAGAAGGTGGCCACATTAACTGCAGCAGTGCAGATAAAATACCACCGAAGAATAATTATGTCTCTGCGCTGGCGACAGCAAAGCACAAGATTTCACAAAACAACAAACAAAAACAAAAGATTTCAGAAAATGCCAGGGATAACAATTCTTCTGTGTGATTGGACCGGACCCAAATCAACTCAGAGTTCACCATCTTTTTCCGTTTTGTGAAATGTGTTTTTCATCTTGTTGTTGTGTTTTGCACTTCAGGGACATCACAGATAAGCATTTAAATGCATTTATCTGTTACTGAAACTGGACGTATTGGGGCTGTATTTCGTCGTCTCACTGGTCCGACCCACATCAATGCAGCCACATGATGGTTTAACACATAACATTACAGGGCTACTTCCAGTCTGAATCCTCACAAGTACAGAAAGACAGAATGTGTGTGTCTTACTGTAATAACTCACACAGAGATCCATTGGGATGAAGCTCCTCCTGGTTCGTGGTCGACTCCGTGAGGCTCATGACTCCACAGTGACCGGATTGAACTGTAACACAGAGGACAAACAGTCAAGACTCACCAGGAGCTGAGAGACCTCCAGACCAATACCTCACCACATCCACGTCTCTCCTCTGAGCCGACAACCGGCACTGACTCCAGGCAGGGAGACATGGATGGATTTGCATTTTGCCAAGGTAACAGGCAAAGTGCTGCCCATTTGTTTGGGAGGGAAACGCTGCAGGTGAAGAGCATGAGGTCATGAACAATATAAAGATACAAATCTGTGTCAAAACTAGTAAAAACATTCATTCCTTTGGTTCAGAGTATCTTAGTATATTTTGAGAACAGTAAATAGGGAAGCAGAAAACATTGCCTGTTCATTTGCCAACATTTCAGGTTTGGTCAATTCATTAGGAACCTCCTGTGGTTGCTAGGGTAACTGAAGTGGCAATTAATCAGGGTCCGGTAGGTAGTTGGAGTTAGGTTCCTCTAGGTGGTTTGAGTTGTTCTTTAGTACAATGGAGGAGTCAGAGGAGGTTGTAGGTCTAGCTGACACTGAGCAGGTTCTATAGGTAGTTCCTGTAGTAACTGAGGAGGTTCTAGGAATTCATTAGGTGATTCTACTGTAGGCCCTGTAGAGTGTAGTTCTATGGGCCTTTAGGTTATTCATGTGGTCATTCGGAGGATCTTTGGGTCCTATAGATAGAACCTCTTCAGATAGTATATTTTTGTAGATCTAGTGTTCCTTTAAGAATGTCCTTAGGATCATCTAGAAAGTTTTAATGGTAACTGGCAAAGTTCTACGTAGCTTTAGAAGTCCTTTGGAAGGTTCTAGAGATCCTTTATCAATGTCTGGTCATCACTGGAGAGGTTAGGGTTCCTGTGGGTAGTTCTTGTGTCTTGAGATGTTCTGGGAGTGGTCACTGAGTGCTACAGGTCATTTTGGTAGTTCTAAGTCTTTTGGGATTTTATAATGATTACTGTAGAGGATCTATGGGTCCTGGTTCTAGTGTTCCGATGGGTATACCTCATAGTAACTGAGGTTCTAGGTGTCCCTATAGTGTAGTCTTCTTATAGGGGTCCTCTAGGTAGTTCCAGTGGTCAATGAGGACATTCTGGTGGTCTTTTGAAGGTTCTAGGGAGCACTAAGGAGGTTCTGGCAAGAGGTCATTGAGGAGGCTCTAGTGGTTAATGAAAGGATTCTAGAAGTCTAAGGCTCTGGTTTTCGTGAAGGATGTTTGGGTGGTTCTATAGAAGGCTACTGGTGACTGAAGGGGTAGCTCTGGTGGTGATACCATGTGTTGTTGTCATTGACGAGGTTCTAGCAGTTGGTGGAGCCGTTTTAGGGTCTTAAAAAGGTTCTAGTGGGGCTTGAAGGGGCTCTAATGGTACTGAGTGAAGTAATGTGTTGGGAACCATTTAGGGAAAGTAGGAGGTTCTTGGGTGAGCTCTTCAGAGACAGAATGACAGAAATAAATAAACTGAATTATTGACGTTTGTCAAAAATCCACACTGATCCTCTGTGGAAGACTGAACCAGGAAGCTAGAGTTATGTTATGATGAAAAGGTCACAGTAACAGCAAGTGGTTTGAACAGCACATGCAGGTGAACACCAGGTAAAGCAGCGTACTCACTGAGTGGATCCCCAACAGATTACTCCTATTTATACCCATTTACTCACACCAGTGTCTAGGAGGAAAAATGTTGACAGGTAAATTCCCACACCTACTAGTGACAGACTGTTTCAGAGTCAGTACCTCCATGATTGTTGTCAGTGTGTAGAGGGACCTCTGTGACCTTAGAGGCCAGCCTCTGACACACCTGCCAGGTGTGTGTCAGTATAGAGACACAGCAGACTGCAGCGCTCCTGACACACAGCACTGACGAGTCCAGCCACAGCTGCAGCACATCTGGAAGAGCCGAACCACACCGAGTCACACTTAAATACAAATAAATGTGTACATCTGTGCATCAGGGAAATCTGAGACACCTCAACGATTTCAGCTGCAGTTTGATTTACATAAAAAAGATTTATACAAAACATGTTTGCAGAGCCAGAGAGAGCAGGAGGAAGCTGTCAGTCCATGACTTCACTTCAGGAAACAAAACGTGATGAAATGAGTCCGTAATGAAAGTGAACACAGCTGGGCAGGAAATTAGCTTCAGGGCGTCTGATGTGACATCGCAAATACAGCTGCAATGATTTGTCAAATGACAGAAAAATTAATCAGCAACAATTCTAATAATTGTTGAGTCATTTACAGGTCACAGACAGGTTTTGATCTGATCCTCTGAAGTTAACTTGCTCTGGAGCAGTTCAGCGTAAGTTACCATGGTGATTTAACAACAGAACAGCGTCGGGACAGAAAACCCAGAGTTAAACCTGGAGTTACCTCGATAACCTCAGATCCTGCTTCGTAGTACAGACCTCAGATGTCAAGCCTCTGTGGGAGGGGCTGGAACAACAAGTCCGATCCACATCAGCTCACAACTTACAGGATCTGCTGCCCGACACCACAGGGACCTTCAGAGGTCCGACTTGCCGTTTTGGCAGCACGCAGAGGCCGAGCCGTCCGTTAGGCAGGTGGTTATTATGTTTTGGCTTAGTGTATTTCCTGAACACCTGTGATGTCATAGATAGACAGTGATTATCACCTGTCTCACCTGTTCTGCTCTTGCGGCCCCGGTCTCGGCAGTAGACGGTGGACGTTTCAGGCTCTCTGTGGTCTGAGGGCCGCGGCCCCGTCAACAAGGAGGACGTGGTGGTGGTGTACTCGGAGGAGGAGCGGTAAGTGGCCACAGACTCCTTCCTGTCCGAGTGCAGCTCACAGTCTTTACAGTAAACCCGGCTGAGCGTCTGCACCGGGTGTTTGGCGCAGTGGCTGTCTGGGCCAATCAGAGTGCTGTTTGCCAGGACGCTGCTCTGCTCCGCTATGATGGTGCTTTCTGTGACAGAGACATGAAATGATTAACTGACTGATGATTTTTCTATCAATTCATGGATGAAATTATCAACCAAACATTCTCTGGTTCAAGCTCGATATGTTTATGTTTTATATCACTGCTCATTCAAATTTATCTCATCTGTCAAAACTGCTGATTCACAAATAAAGTTGGAGAAAATTACATCATTTGACAATAGTGAAAAATATAAACTTGTATTCAGGTGTGTTTCGGCATGTTAATAAGAAGAGAATACAATATTCTGTATCAGAGATGTGTGACACTTTGATCATTTTTACAGATTGGATTTTTAGCTTAATAGAACAATTGTTATTTACCTCAGTTTCCTAGATGAGATTTCATTGGAAAACTAAAGTTACAGTAGTGAGAGTAACTGTGGTAAGAATTAATTTTACTGACCTTTAGGATCAACGTTATTGTCCAAACCTGAAACACCAGAGGAAGATCAGAACAAAAACTACTTCACTCTAACCACCTCATATTAAAGCTCCTCCAGTGTAAAGGTCTGTGTCCATGTGTAGTGTGATTATAGATCAGCTCTAGCTTCTATATTAATACTGTGAAAGTATCAAAGCCTCAGTCCACAGAGAAATTCACACAGCCTGTATTCAGAAACTGAGCCTTAAAACCAGCCGTCAGGACTTCTGGAACTTTGTGATGTCACAACAAAGCAGTCACAAAGCCCCACCCAAGATGCTAACTATGCTAACAGTTTTGATCCGTCTGCTAGTCTCTGGTTCTGGTCTCAACAGACTCCTCATCCGAGTCTGGGTCTGACTGAGGCTCAAACATGTGGCTGAGTCTCTCTGATGTTTCCTCCTCTCACCATCTTCAGACTCTCTGCTCTCTCACCTGTCCACCTGGAGCAAGCAGGTGGTGGGCGGGGCTCAAGGCCTGATCCAGATTTCTCAACCAGGAAGTCAGAGGAGATGAGCTTCAGAGCCTTTTCAGTATTTTTACAGAGCTACTTTACAACATGTCTGGAGGGAAACTTTAAAGATAAATTTCTTTGCACATTTTAACTTTGTACGTTCCTGAGCAACTAGTGTTTTTGTTCTAACTGCTGCCTGCTCGGTGTAAACAGCCCAGTCTGCACACAGAAGAAGAATTAAGGCCGACAAGTTAACGACACTGTGTTTTACCCCAGAATGAGTCGACCAGTGTGGCCTCGTGGATGGAGGACTCGTCCAGCAGAGAGGAGAGCAGAGAGGCGTCCGAGGCCACGCTGTGGACGCTGCTGTTGTGGAGCGACTGGCCGGCCGGTTTACGAGGAGTGTGCACGAGGAGAGAGTCCGAGCAGGAGACTGAGTGGTGCTGAGAACGACGAGACTTCAGAGACCTGCAGGAGGAAGGAGCAGGGACAGGGAGGAGGAGGAAAGAACTTAATGGATGATGGATGTGAAGGAGGAGAAAGACCAATAATGACATCGAGGAGAAAAAAGGTGTAAAAGAAGGAGAAGATGACAATAAGGTGGAGGAGAAGACAAAAGGAGGATAGGAGGAAGAACAAAGGAAGAGGAGGTGGAGACGAAAGAGAGATGAAAAGAGGGAGAAGAACAAGGGGAAGGAGGAAAACAGCAGCGAGACACCCGACACCCCTCCTACCCAACCCTCACCTGGTGCTCCTCCAGCTCCCTCCTCCTACACTGAAGGAGGCGCTGGCGTGCGGCAGACCGCGGTCCAACAGGCTGTCGTCGAGCCGCAGGCTGCGTCTGGACATGATTCTGGTCTGGAGGAAGGAGGCAATCTGCTGCTCTTTCTCCAAGTCCGACACTGCCGAGGAGTAGCTGGAGCTGAGGACGAAGACAAGAGAGGGAAGAGTTTCTGCCACATTCACCAAATTAGACTGTAACACATCTTTAATACTGACGGAAGAGGATTCGGGCCACATGTGAAAAAATTCCCTCTGACAAAAGAATTGTGAGTTTAAAGTGATAGTTGTTGTTATCAGACGTGGGGTGGTGTGAGGTCATCATGTACAGTCAGTGTGTTACCTGCAGTAGATTCAGTTTAGAGGAGCAGCAGGAGCAGAGTGATGAGCTGCTGTGGGCGGGGCCAGCAGAAAACACCTTTTTTTACTTTTAAAAAGACACCCACTGAAACAATCCAACATCTGGTTAAATGAAGCTTCATGTAGAATATTTTCAGCTCTTTATCTTTCCGTCAGAACAGCACTTTCCTTTCGCACTACAATTTTTCAACCACTGAACTACCGTATTCCTATGTACAAGCGCATCTACAGCATGCACTGTATCACGCCGCAGCTGCAGGTCATCTGAGCGAATCAGAAAGAGCTAAACTTCACTTTGTTTTGACTGAATTCTACTTGAAGCTTAATTTAAACAGCTGTTGGATTGTTTCAGTGGGCGTCTTTTAAAAAAGTGTCTAAAACAGGTGTTTTCTGCTGGCCCCACCCACAGCAGCTCATCACTCTGCTAGCTTTTTTTTTGCTGAAACCGACACTGGTGAGATTCTGTTTACTAATTTACTAAATTGCATCAGCCTCTGTTGGAAATATCGGCTAAAAGATACAGAACCTGTGAAATGAAGCGTTACCGACATAGATTTACCTGCTGAGAAACAGAAACTCAAAACAAATCCCTGCTACCTTATCAAAAACAAAGAGAGCCGGCCACCCCCCCCAACACACACACACACACACACACACACACACACTATTAGGTGAGGATACACACAGGTCAGTCCAGCCCCAGCTCTGCAGATCCACGTCCTCGTCACTCATTACAGGGAGCAGAGGCACAGCCGACACATCACTCACATAATATAAATAAATATGTACACAGTATAAACAAAACACACACACACACACACAAAGAGTTTTGTGGCAGCAGCACGGTTCAAGTTCACCTTAAGCCTACTTAGACTGCTGCAGACAGCACTTCCTGCTAGAGCATGTGGGTCAGTGAGCTGCTTAGATCCCGCCCACCCCCCACACACACACTTTTTACACATGAACACACACCCTGAATGATGCTTGAATATGACTGCACCTAACTTATTTTCATTATTAATTAATCTGTTGATCATTTTCTTGATTAATCAATTAGTGCATGAAATAAAAAAATACATTTGTTAAAAATTCTAAAGATATTTTATACACTTTAATGTCAGCTGACAAGCTGGAAGCAGAGTCTGTGTCTTGATTGAATCACTCCAAGTCACAGATTATCAAAATACTTTGATTCATTTTCTGTCAATTCACTGAACAATCAATTGACTAATTGTTGCAGCTCTCGGTGTGATCGATGACTGAGCAAAAGTGCTGTTTAATAGTTCCAGTGAAAACATACTCAATATTGATTATCAGCTATTTACAAATATCAGTAATTGCCTTCAGAAACGCACAGGAGTCGAACACACCTAAGGAACATGAGATTGAACTGAAAGAAAGGTGAGATTCAAACTTAGCTGATGGGACGAATACTACCAAAGACCTCCCTCTGTTACTTACATGTTTACCAACAACAGGGAAAGAAAAGACAAGCGTGGCAGGAACTTACCACCAGCTGCAGGTGAACGCTGGTGTTTGAGTTCCTCCATCTTGGATGGGTGAAACAGGTGAGAAGGTTTAGAGATCACCTGTTCTAACTGTCACTCTCCCTCTCTGTCTGACCAGTCTCTGTGAGCCTCTCTGGATTACCCAGCAGCCCTCACCTTGAGCCACTTATAGACTCTCTGCAGAGCTGTCCTTCATTGCTGCATTGGCCTGTACTCAACTGCTGAGGGCGCTGTCAGCACAGACATTCACTGAAGCTGTGTGTCAACAGACATCATACTGACCTGTCTGGAAACAGGTGTGTAGGAGAGAAGAAGTGCAAACATGTTGGTACATGTATTGAAGAGGAGGGCTGCAACTAACTATTATTTTCATCTCCAATAAATCTGCTTGATATTTTCTCAGTGATCTGGTGGACGAGGTTTCAGAAAATCATCAACGAGGATACAGACACTTCATCTGACATACATCAGTTGGGTAATTTCTTTTTTTAATTTTCAAATTTTTTATTTGAGTGCCATTTTGATTCCTGTGTTTTGGTGCAGATACCAAAACTATAATGCAGGGCTGCAACTAACAATTGTAATCTGCTGATTCTTTTCTCCATTCATCCATGAATCATTTCTCTACAATATTACATCTATAATAATATGTTCAAGTCCCATTTTCCTATTCAGATGTCGTCAGAGATTTTCATTTTACTTTGATTTACAAGAGAGAAAAAGCAGAAAATATTCTCCAATAAGAAGCTGAAAGCACAAATGTATGACATTTTTGCTAAGAAAAAAAAAAGAATGATCACTTTAACAATTATCAAACTATTTTCCGAATGTATTAAGTAGGGATGAACAATTATTTGAAATATTATCATAATCGTAATATGGCCAACTGCAGTATCCAAATCGCAGGAGAACTTTTAAAAAAAAAAGAAAAAAAAAAAAAAGGGTAAAATGTGTCACAACAGACCATAAAAGAGACGCCCTACAATTCATGTAATCTCCACATGTAAAGTAACATGCTTTGTTCACACAAAGCTCAACAAAATTTAAATCTTTGTTTTTAAAATTTTTTGTGAAAATGAAATGCAAAAATGACCATTCCAACTGATATTGTGACTAATGTTTCAATATTTCCACCTGGAATTTGGAGGATGTGTTACTCTTTCCTTTACTGTTTGATATCCTCACCTTTCAACACCCCCCCCCCAAAAGAGTTGTCAGTTACTGTATGCTCACAACAATTACATTTTATTAGCAACACTACGTGATTTTCTTGTTGCCTATTATTAATTTTTTGCCTCACGCAACATAGAGGCAGCCTAACCTTTCCAGTAGAAGCCATTGTGGCCGAAAACAGCCTGAAATAAACAGAATTATTATTGTTTAAATTGTTTGTGTGCGCACAACTCTCCCACGTGTCTTCACTTCAACTACACGGTTAAAGGGACTGGCGGGTTACAGCCAATCAGCATGAAACTAAGACAGATGAGTTTGCAGGTGACCAATGAAAACCGGCGTTGGGCGGGGCTCCGCGAAAAACGAACCGGCGACTTGCTACGTTAGCATTAGCTCTCAGACCGTCGACTCAGAAACACAAAGAGACAAAACACCGACAGAAACACAGAGAGAAACCACTCACCCACAGCGGAGCTCCCAATGAGCTGCTCACTCTCTCTCAGCCGAGGATAAACGTCAAAGTACAGTCGGCAGCTAGCTGAACTCGCACTAACGACTGTTTCCGGTCTGTTAGCGCCGTTAGGATTAAATCTCTGTAGTTTTACTCACAACTCCTATTTTCGAAGTCATAAATCTTATGAACGTCAACTGACAAACTCAGTATAAACCTAACAGGGAGTTTTACTTCGTGCTTTAATAAACCGCTGAAGGTTTTTATAGACTATAGTGATTACCGCCCCGTGTGGCGGGAGGAGTGAATAAAATAGGAAGCAAAGATCGTAGATTGTTTAAGTAATGGCTCACATTTATTCGTCCTGGTTGTCTAGTTTTGATATGTTTTGTATTTGTTTTAATTTATTCATTAATACAGTCGATTTGAAAACTGTTGCACCAATCGCTAGGTTTCATGTTTCCCATTAGTAAGTGGGAGCCAACACAGTTACAGCAGCTGATCAGTTTTACAAAAATTAGTCAGATGCTAACTTAGCAGTTTGTTAGGAACATCTACCTAAAATTAATGCAGTCTAATACAACAAATGGACAAAGTTCGTTATCCTGTTTGGATTATTTACTTCTGTGGTGGAATACACAAATGGGCCTTCTGAGCCTAGCTTCCAATTTAATTTGAAGGAAAAATTTGTTTTTCAGGGCTTGACACCGCTCTACTGTCGGACTATAGAAGATCTGTGTGTAGCCAGCGTCTAGAGAGACAGAGGGCGGGGTGACCTTCGGTGCCGGAGCCAATCGGTGTCTTGCAAGTAGGTAGAGCTTGGTGTTCATTGGTCAGCGCACGGAGTCACTCAAACTAGTGCAGCAGGCGCGAGCAGGGCGGGTAACGTAACGTTATTACTCAAGTAAAATGGCGTTTCTAGAGAAAAAACAATTAAATCTTCTCGGATTTCTCTGTAAGACACCGCAAGGTAAGAGAAAGAGTTCTGTACAGCATATGTTAAACAAGTCTGTTAAACTAACAACGACAGCGATGCACATTGAACCATACTAGAACTACAGTAACGTTAAAGTACTGTAGTAGATCTAGCAAACGTTAGCTGGTTGTTTACCTATCTACATGAAGGCTAATGTTACTGCCCCGTTTGTCAAGAAAAAAAAAACCTTATTGCGCTTTCTTGCTGCTTTAGCCCCATGGGTTTGACTTGGAAAATAGGCAGCACAAAACAAATTAGTTTGCTAGTTTGCCTGCTTAGTGATGCTAATACATTAGAATATAATGTTGAGCTGTAGTTTGACATTGACAACTAAGGTTATTTGATCTTTTAAGAGGCTAAATACATGGTTTTGTGGTTAAATAATCCCCAGAGCTCTTTGCATTTTGCAGGATGTGGGTGATTTTTCATCCACATTTAGAACTGAAGGAAAATTAGATTAGATTAGAAATTGATTAGATTTGTGATGCACAGAGTTTGAATAGGAATTGAATTGTCAGATAGTTTTATGTAATGTGCATGTAGTCCAACTAAATCAGAATATGTTATTGAGCTTTATGTAAGATGATTTAATGGTTTTTCAGAGGGCAGCAAAGACAAGGAAGGAGGTGAGCTACAGAGGGAGGAGAAGGGAGAAGACAGTAGAGCTAGGGGCACAGAGATAAGAGTCATAAACTACAACCCACATTCCAATCCTGAGTAGTGACCAGTAGATCACTCTTCACAGACACAGATCTGAAGAAGAATATATAATTCAAATAATAAACTGTTATGTAACTCATGAGATGTTTCTATGTAATAGTTCAATCCCAAACTTTTATCCTGTTTGAAATGTAACATGTAGACTTAAGACAATGTCTTTCATGTGACCATACTGTCAGTGTTACGCCCATGAAGTTGCATACTCCAGGGGTGACACACTTTTAAGAAATGAGTGCCTGTGAGGACAAACAAAGACACTGTGGGTGAGCTGGTCTTCAGTTGCTTTACTTAAAACATTAACTGCCAACTAAATCAAAACAATCATCACAATAATCACAATATCAAAATTACTCTATTTCAAAATGCAATAAAACTATTCACCAGATATTTACAATGTTATTCTATATAATTTTACTATTTATAATTATAATATTTCTTTATATAAACAATTATCTTATTCTCCTTTATATATTAAATCACAAAACAATCATATTTACAATGTAACTATAAGAACATCTCCCTCTTCCTATTTCTGCAGCACCGCAGCCTGAGCGCTTTCTGGTTGCCTAGCAACGGTAAACTGCGCTTTGCTGTTAATCAGCTGCGGCTCGCGCTGTAGCTGTTATATTCCGTTTACTAACTGCCCAGTTAGAAAATAACAGATTAACAAAACTATTGGGACCTAATGACAAAATATACAAAATATAAACCACAAAACACTGTAACATTAACTTTCACACACACACATCTACCAGCGGAGGAGGGCAAACTTCACCTCTCACTCGCTTCTGTTAGAAACACTAAGGTAACATCGACAGTTACACATTTAACATATAAGCAAAATTATCAAAAGCACATAACAATACACAAAACATAAAGCACGCAATATTTACAACATGTACAACCCTTTTTCACCTAATTTGCCCACCTGTGAGGACAAACAACAAAGGCACTGTGGGTGAGCTGGTCTTCAGTTGCTTTACTTAAAACATTAACTGACAACTGAAGATTGCAGCTCGCCCACAGTTTATATAACCTCACAGGTGGTCTCGTGCCTGGAATATTAATGTTTAAAATCTTAATGGGGGGTGTCTAAAAATATAAAACATATATACATATAAACAACACACATTAATGAGTGGGCAATTAAATTAATAAATGATATTAAATAATTACCACATCAGCATCCTTCACACAAGGTAACACACACTACATGACATCCAGAATGTCCATATTATTATTATTATTACAGTCAAAGAACTGCTGTGTAATCCACATTTATAGACTATTAGCTTTAGGAAATGTTTATGTTGTTGTTTGATCAGTTAACCACTTGTATTATGATTAATTCCAGGTTTGAAGGATGTAAGTCAAGACCAACTGAACCAAAACAACAGAAGTGTCTCAGAGTAATTTTGTAACTTTTGTAACTGTTTTCCTTTTTGAAGCTTTTTGACAGTTTAGAGTCATCTGGTAAACGCCAGTCTCCTCTAAAGTTATCCAGCCAAAGTGAAGTGCCTTAGAGTTTATTTGGCATCAACCCACAAGAGACGCCAGCAAATAATACATCTGCAGGACCGCCTGCAGAGAAGCCTACCAGAAATCAAGAGTGCCCGAGACAGAAAGTCTCCTGGCAAACTCCACCAGAGCTGAATCGCTGAGACACCGGCAGAATCCGTCACTGTGATAACGGGACACGGCCTCCAGGAGAAACCACCTAGATCCAGCGTCTCCAGGGTTACCATGGCAACCACAGCCACCTGGGTTCCAGCCAAGGGTCTCCAGCTACAGCGCAACTCACAGTAGGCTGGTCTTAACACTCTGCTCATGACTGAGTTGATGTCGAAATATAGTAATATTTAATTATCAAATCTCATTCGTAGACGTAGCATCATTAGCTGTATAGCCATAGTGTATAGCCATAACATATTCTCTCCCACCATTGCCAACTCATCACACTGCTCATTTCATTATCATTTTCTTCTTTATGATTATTACACCTTGCATTTACTCTGTAATAGGGTTGTCACAAGAACCGATACTTCGGTACCAAGCCGATGCCATGTGGCAAAAAACGGGACGGTACCCATTTTTTTTTGTGGTATCGAAGGCTAATTATTAATTACTGCGTCACTGGCAACATTTGAGTGACTCGGACACATTTAAGCACAGTTTCTCTGGCACATGCTCTGCGTCTGCCCAAGGGAGGATGAGGAACGTCTACTATTAGGCTGATTGGTTAGCTAACTGGACCTGCTGCTGTAAGCAACTGCCTCAGTAACCTAGCTGCACCCACCTCGGTAAGCTAGCTGCGCCTGCCTTGGTAAGCTAGTTGCTAGTTAAAATAACAGTGAAATACTGCGTCACTGGCTTCAGACCACAGAATAGGGGAATTTGCTGTTTAAACAATGTGGGTGCTGGAGGGGAAAATGAAAACTGTGTTGATTTCTCTTGTGATGGAAGATAGACTGAATGGGCCTGAAATCAGTTCTCACAGTGCCATCCATTGATAAAAGCAAGCAACAAACAGACCTGGAATCACACGACGGCACCAACAGTTGGATATGAACACATTCAACTGTGTTCTTATTAGTGCAGTTTTATCTTTTTGTGTTTAACTTTTGTAGCTTTTTTATGTGTTTGTTTCACAACAAAACACTTTGATTGATTTTCACTGTAAAAAGGAAGAGGTGTGCTAAACTGACACAAAGCAAAACTTTAAAATGTTGGCAAACACTGATAAACTGATTAGTTTGTAGAAAACTGTCACTTACAAAAAGTACTTCAAATGCTGTGAAAAGCCAGTTTGGTGTTGTTGTGGTCAAAGTGTGAAACAAAGATGAAACATCTGATTTGACTGTGATTTTTCATTTATTAAGTTTCTTTAACTCAAAAACAAAGTACAAGAAAAGAGAAGTGAAAATATTTCAGCTGAATGACTGTTTTCTGCTCAAACACTAAAGTGTATAAAAGACAATGAAGACGAAAAGATTAAAACTGCATGAAGGGACTGTACAGCTGTTAATAATGGCTAAATACAACTATTTACTATTTAAGAGATGAAACCACAGATGATTTTCTCCCTCAGTAGCTTTTTCTGCAGGGTTTCAGTGATACTCTAAAGCATATGTGTCAAACTCAAGGCCTGCGGGCCAAATGTGGCCCGCCACGTCATTTTATGTGGCCCGCGAGAGCTTAAAAGGTCTGATTATCTTATAATAAATAAGTCAAAAGGGTGCATTGACCATAAACTACATTTCCCATAATGCATGCCGATCATGTTACCCGTGAAGTGACGGCATCCCGCCACCAGATTGCAGTAGGGGTGGGCGATATGACGATATTAGATCGTGAAGGATTACAACGTGAAGACGATCTTTCAAACTGCAGAGATCGTGGGATCGTCTCGGGCACATTCTATAAATTGCAGTTCTATGCTGATGCACCGACGCACCAGACGCATTCACGTCGTCAACCTGACCGACCAATCATAGCGAATTACGGGCAGTGACGCACTTTCCTACCCGCCTCCTTGTTTGTGTGTGTAGCGGTAGCACATGGAGAGCGATGGCTGAAAGCCAAACAGAGTTGGTCGCTAAAAAAAATTCCACCTCCATTATATGGAATTGGTTTGGATTTTCCGCAACTGATCAAGCGCAAGCAAATGTAATTTGCAAAGTTTGCACAGAAACCGTTCGCACGTCGGGTGGTAACACGACGAACCAGAATGTTGTTGTTTACCTTAAACTTTACGTTGTTTGCACATGCAGGCAAAACTGCGACTATTTGAAATAAAATCTGTTAAGAAAGGTTCTTTGGTCTAAATTGTCTGTTTTTCTTTTTCCAATTTAAGATCGTGATAAAATCGAAATCGTGATTTTATTTTTTAAAAATTGTGATATGATGTGATGGCCATATCGCCCACCCCTAGATTGCAGTGTTTCCACATCAGTGCCATTTTCCGAATTAAGAATTACAAACAATGATCCCAAAATGTCCAGGAAGAGAAACATTGATGCAGATGGAAGGCTGTTTCAAGAAAGATGGGAAGGCGAATATATGTTTGTTCCTCTAGGAGAAAATCCGGTATGTCTTTTGTGTTATGAGGCAGTGGCGGTTGTCAAAGAGTACAATCTACAGTGTTTCCTCTACATTCATTTAGCAGTGGCGGCCCGCCACAGGCAGCACTTTAGATTCCAGTCTGCAAGTTACAGTCTAATTATTTAGTACATATGCAGGGAATCAATAAAGTTCTTACGGAGTGTCTATATGTTAGAGCAAAGGATTATGGGAATAAGAGAGTAACAACTTTGGGTAAAATGTGGAAACAGTGTTGATAACAGTGAAATTATCTAAAGTATATTTTTAAAGTTATGAAATAATTCTTTAAAACATGACAGAGTAAAAAGACTTTAATATGGAGTACTATTGTTGTGTACACACCTAAGTTATTTTAAGTTTTGATATATGTTGCTGTGTTAAGACTGGGAGGACGGGTTCACCTCTATAACTGACTCCCTGTCATCACCTCGTTGTTATGAAAGTACATATTGGCTCAGCCTGTTGGTCCCTGTATGTTCCCTGTAATAACTTCATATGTGCTGATCAGTGTCATTGATTTCTGTTTCCTTAAATACAAATGAGTTTCTCCTTATTCCCTGTAGTTTTTCCTTGTATCTACATGTACCCAGTAAGTATTTCATTGGTGCCCTGTATGGACAAACCTTCATTTAAGGCTGTGATCTTAAGTGTTACTCAACATTGTTATTACACTGTTATACTGATTATAATTACTATAACAATATCAACACTGTCATTTACCACCATCTCATTTTTATTGTTGCTGCTCTGTGTTTTGACCATAGGTATGACTGTGAGAGTGAATGGTTGTTTGTCTCTGTGTGCCCTGCGATGGACTGGCGACCTGTCCAGGGTGTACCCCGCCTCTCGCCCGAAAGGATGCTGGGATAGGCTCCAGCCCCCCCGCGACCCTACTAGAGGATAAGCGGAAGAAAATGGATGGATGGATGCTCTGTGTTTTTATGATGACAAACAGATTAAGGTAAAAACTTTCTAACAACTTGATCTAAAGTCTCTTTTCTGAAGATGCTTTGTCCATAACATTTTAAATACACAGTTGTCTTTTGAGAGGGAGTGGATTCCATTAACACTTCATTCAATATATACAATATATACTGTATTATAAATACCTGAAGTTCATTTTTCTACAAAACACTGATCACTAACAGCTTCACTTCCTCCACTAATGAACCTAAAGACTCAAAGTTCCTATATTTGAGGAGGTTGAAAAAGAATATCAGTCTTTATTTATGAAAAAAAATGGAGCAGATGAATGTGAACTAGTTCATTTTCATCTGTATGAACTGAATTTTGAACTAGTTCATTTTAAGTGTGGCACAACACTGCCCATCACATCCATCACAGCAGCTTCAGTCCCCAGAACCCCTCCATACTCCGTCCATCTGGTCTTTATCTCTCATTATGAACAGGATGGTGGTAGTCTTTCTAATTTGGGCTTCAGCTGTTCTATGTTGATTTATTTTTTCATTATATTTTATTGTTTTTATGTTCTGGTCTATTGATTGTTGCTGTTCATTGTCATCAGTGTATGAAATATATAAAACACCCACAACAGATATTACATTCAATCACACAAGTCCACACAAATATAAAAGTGTGTGTGTGTGTGTGTGTGTGTGTGTGTGTGTGTGTGTGTGTGTGTGTGTGTGAGATTCCTGAGCTGGTTGGACTCTGTTGTTAATCTCTTTATGTAAGAGCTCATTTAATTCACTTTTCAGTTCATCCTGAAATCCCCCCCCCCCCAGCTGTGTTTTAATCCACAGGCGTTGGCGTCACTCTCCTCTGTCTCTAATGTGAATCTCATTTTGTTGACCCTGACTCTGACTGTGACGCTGCACAGCCGTCTGCTGTAGGTAATTATCTGGCTCTGGTGTGGGGGTGTCATCATGAGTTCACCCCCTCAGTCCAGACTGAAGAGTCTCGACGTGCAGACATTCGTGCTCCCCTCAGGCGACGTCCACACTATGACATTTTCATTTTAAAAGGCATCCAGATTACAGGGCTGGTCCAGCCAACACCTGTGGCACTTTCACATGTTCAGAGCTTCTAAGTAGCTGATGAGTTTGAGGTTGGTTTGATATGGACCTTAGTTTTGGTTAATGACCAACGTGTTTGAAATGTAAACGATCTGTAGACGCCAGTGTCCACCAGGGGGCGCTGTAGAGGAGGCGGCATCAACAAAAAGATCTGACCACTTCTCTCCAAACATTGAGCTGAAACTCACCGTAAAGCTGAGTGAAGCCGAGGGGAGCACTGCCTGTTACTCAAACATACATCATACACCAGCTGCTCATTAAATCCTTATGAAACAGAAAATCTCCCACTCTCTCTCCTCGGTCGGCCCATGACGTCACAGAGAGAGAGAGAGGGAGGGCAATAAAGCCAGCTGCAGTCAGACAGTGGCAGCACTCTGAATGAAAACTATCCGGAGCTTCACAGCAGAACATTCAGCTGGTTTCACTGACGTCTCACTGTCATTTCATCTGATGGAGCCTCTCCACAGCAGCCTGAACAGTCCAGCTGTGGAGCTGAAGAGTCTGAAGCTGTGTGACCAGGGAGGTCAGTGTGGTGTGTGTGGTGTGTGTGTGTGTGTGTGTGTGTGTGTGTGTGTGTGTGTGTGTGTGTGTGTGTGTGTGTGTGTGTGTGTGTGTGTGTGTGTGTGTGTGTGTGTTGTGTGTGTGTGTGTATATATATAGCTGCATACTGCATGTTGTGGGGACATCAGTCTGATTACATGGTCACTGTGGGGACTCGACTTCCTTCGCCGGATAACAACACAACATGAATTGTTAAATTTTAGTATGAAGACTTAGTTTAGGATGAGGTTAGGGTTTGGTTTAGGTTTAGATTTAGGTCCAGGTTTCAAGAGAGGGCCTTGTGTTCAGGGTTAGGGTTAGGGGAGCTAAAGTTACTAGAGACTTTTACTGGACACAAATATAAAATATAAATACTAAACATTCACATTTCATGTGCACTCAGGTATGTAATGTCTTTAACCCCCTCCACTGTTTAAACATGGAGGAGGTTAAAAGCAGCTCGCACAATATAAACATACAGGAAATGTTTTACAGTGTGCCCCGTCACTGCTGTGATTTGGAGGCTGAGGCGTTCAGGGGAACCAGAGCGAAGAGGAAACGAGCCGGTCTGCTGGTTCTGTTGTTCACAGGAATCCTGCTGCTGTCAGTGTCAGACCTCCAAAGACTCCTCGAGTCTGAAGAAACAAAATCTTTCTTCCAGACGAGATCAGAAGCACAGAGTGGCTTTTAAACGAGTGCCTTAAACGCAGCAGCAGCAGCGATTAGCATCAGTCCATCTTTGGGATTCCTGTGGCCAGTGAATGTCTCATGGTTCGTTAACTGGACTTTGGTTTTCAGAAATGACAATAGTATCATGACCTTGAACTTCAGTGTGAGTGTTAGTTAGAGTTAAATTTGTAAACTCTTCTTTTCTCTCCATTTTGGCCTGTGTCCAAACTAACTGAGTTTTTTTCAGACTGTAAATCTGAAACAGCAGCTCAGTGTTTCAGTTTGTTCGGGATAAACTGAGACTTTACAGAATAATGAAGTTAAAGACAACCTTTAGTTGTCTCCAACTTTCTCTGTGATGCTTCATAGATACTTAGAAACCCACCAACTAAAACTGGTTGTCTCTCTCGAGGTGAAGGGGGGTGGGGCTCATTTCTTTCAAGATGAACTTGGAGAACTTATATCCTTTGTACCTTTGTACTGAGTTTTTTGAGTCAGGCTGCTGGCGGTCTCTGTACAAGGTAAAATCTAAAGTTTTCTTGCATCATGTTGTGATGAACTTGACGTCTTTGGCTCGATTCTTCCTCTTAGGGTTTGTTCCTCCATGTGTCCAGTAACTGGTAGATGGATCCATCCGATTTTATCTCGGTGTGTCACAGAGCAGAATAGCTGACCAGCTTTCTCACTTTTTTGTCCCTCAACTGTTTTCCAGTTCTTCTTTGTGGACTAGACTTTGGCAGCAGGAGGAGGGGGAAGGTCAGTGGGAACTCTCTGTTGTTCTCTTTCTTGAAAAGAGAACTGTCAAATATTTCATCACAAAGTGAACTTGGAAATAAATTCAACATTTAAAAAATGATATAAACACAGAAACCTGAAGAAATTACAAACAGTGAAAACAGTAAACGTAATAATAATGACAGAGGAAGACATGAGTTTCAACAACAAGGAACAAACAAGAGGAAGTGCAGCTTCATTCTGACTGAAGTGACAGATTAAATAAATAATGAATGAATAGAGAGAATGTTTTTAAAAACAATCTGATTTGTTTTGGAGGCTCAGAGTCGCTTCTCTGAGGTTGAGCTTTCAGCTTCATGTCCTGGTCTTCATTCAGTTCCTTTGATAGATCTGATGTGGCCTTTGAGTCGGGGTCAGTGCACTCTGACCTTTAACGTGTTAATCCCTCTCGGTGCTGTAATGACACACACTGCTGTTCGACGTGATCTCCTTACATCATCAGTCATGTGACTTTACTGCGGCTCAACACGTCAGCGACTTTCAGCTGCAGCGGGTCTGTGTGGGGTCGAGAGCTTCCTGTTTACAGACGCAGACGGGATTCGAGTTTATCTTGAAAAGAACAAAACATAAAAAACATCTAATACCGCTCAATATAGTTTACAGAAGATTATGCAGGTTTGGTCTTGGTTTCCTTTCATGTCACGTCACTGTATTCACTTTAATCAGCCACTGTATTTAAAGCACTACTCTCTACTCAGCTCTTCTCTGTGCCTGCAGTCTGTGAGGTCATTAAATACATTGCGACATTCTTTCAACTCATCATTTCTAAAATTTCTTCCTCGTGTCTTCTGCTCCGTTTTGTCTCTAAGCTTTCAGAAGACAAACACAGAGGAAACAGAGTGCGGCTCAGGCCGTGTCTGTGCGGGTTTCTAACTCTGAGCATGACGATGAGAGCGGCAGCCATTTTGTTTTCAGAACGGGATATCTCTAACTCCTCGAGGGAACGTCTTCACATTTGGCACAAGCATTAATTTGGACTAAAGGATAAATGGATTAGATTTTGGTGGTCAAAGGTCAAAGGTTAAAGGTCACTGTGACCTCACCAACCACCATTTGGGTATAACTCACAAATCATACACTAATAATGACACAGTTTAACTCAAAGGATAAAATGAAGTGATGACATTTTATATCCAAAAGGTCAAAGGTCAACTTCTCTGTGACATCATAATGTTCTGCAAAACTCTGACCTTTATTCATCACTCAGGAAGGAGAGACTGTGACCATGTTTCCTGCAACTTGGCTGGTTGGTGGAGGAAACAACCACGAGGCGGGAATTCTAGTTTTTCTTTTGTGAATGCAAAGTCCTTCCATCTTTGCGTAACTACTGTGTACACCTGTCCGTATGTTCATGCATGTGAGTGAGTAAAACTCTAAACTGAGTGTGATTTGCAGGCGCAGAGTCTGCGGACAGCGGCATCGGGGATGCGGACGACCTGCCGGTTCCTCAGCAGATCCGGATCAGTAACATCACCTGCGATTCATTCAAAATCAGCTGGGACATTGACAGCAGAGGCCAAGAGAGGATCACTCACTACTTCATTGACCTCAACAAGAAGGAGAACAGGAAGGAGAACAAGTTCAAACACAAGGTCGGTACGACGACATGTCTGTGCCGCTCCTGGTCTGATCAGAACTTGTACATGTTGAAGCTGATGGTGTGATCAGTGGATAAGAGAATACTCTCCACCTTCCTGTCCTCCACATCCTGCGTCTTTGTTTTTCAGGATGTGCCAACTAAGCTGGTGGCGAAGGCGGTTCCCTTGCCGATGACGGTGAGAGGTCATTGGTTCCTGAGTCCTCGTACAGAGTACACGGTGGCCGTCCAGATGGCCGCCAAACATCTGGACGGAGACTACAGCGTTTCTCAGTGGAGCGAGGTCATCGAGTTCTGCACTGCAGGTCGCACAGAGAACTCACCGCCCCCTAAAGTTCCTAAAATCCTTAAGTTACTAGAAGTTAATTCAAGTGCAGGTCGTCATCCAGACAAGCGTCAAATATCAAAGATCATTAAGAAAAAACTGAAAATGTGCTGATCTGAAATCCAAACTCAAAAGACACAAACCAGAATAAGAGTTAATTCCTGCTCCCGTGTCTGCAGATTACTCCTCCGTCCATCTGAACCAGCTGCTGCAGAAAGCCGAGGCCATCGCCGGCAGGATGCTGCCGTTCACTGTCTTCTACAGAAACCAGCAGAGGGAGTACTTCCAACAAGACAGGTGTGTGTCCTGCTGCGCTGTCTGCTGACGTCCGTGCTCTGTGCTCTGCAGGTGTGTTTTAACCCTGTGTGTGCTGTGAACAGCCCCTCTTATCCTTCCAGAGACGCTCAATGCCGCCGAATGCTGCCGGCAGTTAAAGACAACAGTGGCAGCCACGGGTCGCCCATCAGCGCCAAACTGGAGGGAATCTTCTTCAGCTGCAACACAGAGTTCAACACAGGACAACCCCCCCAGGACTCCCCATATGGACCCTACCGCTTCCAGGTACAGCCATGGACAGGTGATGATACGATGGACGTTCGTGGTCGTTTCATTTTGAGACTTTACAGCGACGTTTTTATGGAAGATTCAAAATGTCTGAAGTGAAATACAACACAGTTTTCATGTATTTACTGTCATAGAAATGAAAAATATTTGTTAAAAGAAAAATTTTTAATAACTAAATAAATGACTTTTCATCTTGAAGGTGAATTCCATCCCACATTAAAATAAAATCACTACACATTAAACAAAGTGATGTTTTTGTCACATAAAACTATCATTTCAGTATTTTAAAGTTTTAGAAAAAAAAGAAAACTAAGGACATGACCTTCATGTCACAATAACAGGAAACCCTATTTTTATCACAACTATTTAACATTTAATCGGCTAATTGTTTAACCAAGAAAATAATCGGCAGCTGAATTGATCATGAAAATAATCATCAGGTGTGGCCTTAATATTTTAAAAAGCACTGCAGGGCACTATAAGAGTTATATTTTCTTACAGTTGAAACATGATTTACTCATTAAGACCTAAGTCGCCTCTAAAAAACGTTCTAAAAACTCAGCACTGTTTAAGACAGCCGCCTGAAACCTGGAGACTTTGCCTGAGGGAATTACAAAGTTCAATCAGGAAAGACTCATTTGCTTGAAGAATAAACATTTTGCCAGGTGCAAAATGAGAGAGGAAAAGTGAGAGATGTGAGTCTTTGGTGATTAGACCCCATCGTGATGTCATCATTCCTACAGGATCCTGACGGGAACAAAAGAGTTTACAATTAAGGGATCAATAATAATGAGCAGTAGACTTTTATATAGATCATTGGAATTGTTTTGCTGTTCCAGACCAGCATGTGTCCACTCTGGTTTTAAAGCAGAGCTTCTAACAAACAGAGGAGAGTTTATCACAGTAAAGAATAGATAATAACTGTCATAGCTTCATTTTAATTGAACAAATATTCTTCCATCCGACAGGATTCCTGACAGTATTGATGCTCTTCCTCTGCTCCATCACCACAGCTCAGAACAACATGAGGAGACTAAACCTAAACTTTCTTCACAGATCCAAGCTGACGTCCTCTTTAACCACAACACCAACATCTACTTTGGGGATTTCTACTGCATGTACACGTCCTACCACTACATCATCCTGGTCCTGGCTCCTGACGGCTCCAAGGGAGACGTCTTCTGTAAAGGGAGGCTGCCGGTCCTGGACAGATCCAGCAACCGCCTCCTGACCTGCACCGAAGGGGAGGACGGCTCGCTGTCTTTTCATCACGCTCAGGACGTCATCCTGGAGGTGATATATACGGAGCCGGTGGATCTGTCTTTGGGAACTGTATCACAGATCAGCGGCCACCAGCTCATGAGTCTGTCCACTGTCAACGCCAAGAAAGACCCAAGCTGCAAGATCTGCAACATCAGTGTGGGACGTTAACGGGATCTTCAGACTGGACAACTGGCTAATCTGCTGTTTACTAGTAGTAGCTAACAAGCTGCTAACTGAATTCCACTACCTCACAGGTAGTCCATTTATTTCTTTTAAAGACTAACTCAACATTAAATTATCAGTTTTTGTGCTTAACATTTTCAGTAACAGAGAAAAACAAACTTTTATATGAACTACATTTTTATGTTGTAATTTGAAAAAAAAAATCAGTAAAATCATTGTATTAAAAACTGTATTTTAAAAAATAGATGGAGCAACGTAGTTACTTCACTGTCTTTAATAACAGTGGGACAGTGGAGTATCTGTGGTTAGTTCACTGTCTGTAATAACAGTGGGACAGTGGAGCATCTGAACACCAACATGGGGCTGAACCTGCAGCCGTGTCTCAAACAAAAAGCAGAGCTTTCTGGAAGTCGACAAAGCACAAATGTATTAAAGATAACTTTTTAAAATGTCAGTTGAAGTGACCACTGCATCTTTTGAACAGAGACTGTGTATCCTCAGTCTTTTCTCCTCTGTTAAGCAGAGGTTGTGTTTCCTGTCCATCATCTTTTATCTCCTCATCAGCTTTATGTGTTTTCTCCCTAATGTCTCTGACAGGAGGCTGCTGGAGGACTGAGCTGCACATTGTCTCCTCATCTCACTTTCTCTGAACTCATCATGAAACCTTCACTTCTGATTTTCACCCTCTGAAGCTGCTCCTTAAAAACAGACGGACAATCATACCGAACGACGACAGACAGGAGAAACTGAACACGTCTAAGTTTGAGTTCATGAGCCTGAGGATACACTGACCGACCTGCAGCAGATAGGAGATTACAGATTATACTTGTCACCATGGCAACCTCAGAGTCACAAAACTCTATTTTTCTAATCAGATAAAGATGTACAAGACACATCCTGTTACTCTGTGAAACAGCCTCTTAAACTCAACCCTTATTAATCCAGTCCCATGAGGGATATAAACAAGTAGCAGAATTAGCTGTGAGCTACAACTACAACACATTTTTTTAGCCTGTATTTGTTTCCATTTAGTCAAACTCTCCCTTTAACAGCAGCTGAATCAGCTGTGATCAGCTCCTGACTGCAGGTTATCATGATGTTCACACAACTGTCACTGAATCACTGTGATACTGAAGGAAACTTAAAAACAGGAGGTTTCCATGGATTAAATCACATTTATGGATGTTCATTCACACTGGACATGGGCAGGTCGTCTTATCTGCCAGCATCTCACGCAGGTAGATGTGAAATAAACTCCAATGTACTTACATTAAGATAACTTTAGAGGTGACTGGTGTTGACCAGATGAATCTTAAACTGTAAAAAATCTCCAAAAACAGAAAATGTGGTGACAATTAAAAGTTACAATATTTAGTCTGAGGCACTGTTTTGGTTCAGTTGCTTTTGACTTGGCTTAAAAACATAAAAGTGTAGACAAAGAAAAAGTTGCTTTGTCTACACTCCTGTGTTTCAACTTGGAGAAGAAAGTAATTTTTCATGGAACTTTGGAATTATTTAATTCTATAGTTACACATCCGTCTTCCACCATGACCATAAAAGATCCTTGAAAACCTGAAATGAATCAAATAAAAGTGGTCAACTGATCAAACAACACAATAAATTTTCCCTAAAGCTGATAGTAAATGAATGTGGATTACACAGCAGTTCCTTGTCTATATTGATAATAATAAAGACATTGTGGATGTCTATAATGTCTGTTGTGTGAAGGATAATATAATAGTATTGTCACATGAAAGACATTGTCTTGAAAGCTTGAACCGTTCTAGAGGATAGACTGGCAATTGACCTATTACACAGAGACATACATTAGATATCTAATCAAATATCAACAGACAAAGATCCTACCTATGCTCTCCAGTTTTTTCCCAGTGTCCATTGGTTGATCCTCTGGAGATGACCCTTTGACCCATGTTGTGATTGTGCATCGCACTGACTGTCTGTTTGTGAGAGAACAGTCCTTTATCTGTGGTTACTAAAAAAATGATAGTTTGATGGTGGGAAGAGTAAGAAAGTAAGAAAGTTGGGTCCATAACTCTGCATGTCCTTACAATGAACTTCTTTAATGGTTTGTGACTGATGCCAGACCAGGTGTGTCCGCTACAATAACATCCTCAGGAAGTGTAAGTCACACCGAATCTAAAACTATGTGATTAAAGTCTGTGTTCACATTTGACTGAGTTATGACTCAGCATAAAGGCAGCAAGTTTATCTGACATGGGATATTTGCCTCAAAATACTAAATTGATGAAAGTGGTGAACATACCTGCTAATCATATCATCATAGTAGTTGTAGCATGCTAGCATTATTTTAGCATTTAGCCTAAAGTATCTCTGATTCTACTGCATAGATTTCAATTGTTTTTTAAACTGTCCATCGACTGTGTTGTAGACGCGACATGATGAATCTGTGGAGGACTCTTTTATAATAACAAATAAAGATCTGTAGGTTTGAACAAACTTTAAAGTTTATACAGACTGTGAGAGAAGAAAATACAAACCCTGCTGAGTGTTTGTCTCTGGGTTGTAGGATCCAGACGCACCTGTGACAGTTGATGTATGGACATCTTGAACACATGATAATGAAGGGTTAAATGTGAACTGTGTGCGAGGATGATATCTGAAAATCGGACAGGCAATAATTCAGTGAACTCACCCTTTAATCTGTGATTTATTATTGTATGGGAAAGGCATACTTCAGCTCCCAGTAACTAGTCTAGTGGAGGAGTTTAAAGGTACCAAGGTTAGGACAGAGCTCCTGTTATCTGGGAGTAAAGATGTAGTAGTCAGTAAGGTGGTTCCAAGAATGGCAGTGCAGGAGACGGAAGCAACGCTCAGGCATACAGAGATTGTGGGTAATGTCCAAATAGGCCGGGGAGGCTTGGGGCTTGGCCCAGGCAAACCGGTGTGGAGTAGAGCAGGTCCCAAGGAAAAGAGAAAGCTAGTTGTGGAGCAGGTTCGTAGACAGGAGGAAATATTAAGGGGTGCAAAGGCAGTGGCTCAGGCTAAGCAGGGACAGTGGTTGAATTGGGAAGGTGTAGACAAGAAAAAGCTTAGCTGGAAAGAGCTGTGGAGTATGGAGGAAAGTAGTATTAGATTTTTGATAGGGGCAACTTATGATGTATTGCCAACTCCCCAGAACCTAAAACTCTGGGTAAATGGAGACCCGCTATGTTCATTGTGTTCAGGTACTGCAACTTTAAAGCACATTTTGTCAGGCTGTAAGGTTAGTCTGTCGCAAGGCCGGTACACGTGGCGACATAACCAGGTTTTAAAAAGCTTAGCTGCAGGAATTGAAGATTTACGGAGGCAGGCAAATTTAGGAGGGTCTAAAACAAAGAGAGTTGCAATCAAGTTTGTTCAAGAGGGAGAGAAAGTTGGTAAGACAACAAGGAGGCAAGGCAGCTTAGAGGATGCTTGTGATTGGGAAATGCAGGTAGATTTAGGAGGAAAGCTTGTTGTTCCCCAGGAAATAGCCAGTACAAAGCTAAGGCCTGACATAGTCTTGTGGTCTAGGACGCCAGTGATCACTGTCTAGCCTCCTGGAGGTGTCGTGGGACCAACTAGACGAAACACTGGTGAAAGGAGGTTCCCATCTGATGACCCCAAAGACATGTTAGTTATCACTGCTCATTAGTCTGTATAGCTAAATTAATACTTATCATAGGACTTAGGATGTTAAGCTTAGGGAGCTATTCACTGAGTCTGGTCCATTTTCTGTAGCACAAGTTTCCTTAAATATTGGCTTCCGTACTGAGAAGCTGCTAATGAGCTGGTTGATGAGGAGATAAAAGATGGAAACATCACGTGTTGTTAACGGAGGAGGAGAGGACAAGTCCAGCAGTCAGAGAAGAAACGGAGACAGAGACAGACGTCTACCTGGACATGGATCACCTGCTGATGGTGCTGCTGCTGTGGAGCTCAGGTAGGACTCTCCTTTAATGATGGGTATTAATTTCATTTTTCTCTTCCCAGTAAGTTTGTCTGACCTGTGTGATCATCGGGCTGCTCCTGTTAATGGAGGGTATCATTAAGATGAGAGAGAGAGAGAGAGAGAGAGAGAGAGAGCTCTGCTGTCAGCTAGTTGTCTCTTGTATAATTGATGATTGTAAAGTCAGACTGTTTGGACCCAGTGGTGGATCGATGGGTTCACCATATTACAATGACTTTACATCACAGTTATGAGACGAGGTAAGACTGGAAGGTTGGAAAGTTCTCTACACACTATGAGGACACTGGAAGCTTTATTAAGTGTCACTTTGCTCCTTTAAAGTTAAGGATGGAGAAGATGGTGGTTTGGGTCAAAACAAATCCTCAGGGTCAGGGAATAAGGAGAAACTCATTTGTATTTAAGGAAACAGAAATCAATGACACTGATCAGCACATATGAAGTTATTACAGGGAACATACAGGGACCAACAGGCTGAGCCAATATGTACTTTCATAACAACGAGGTGATGACAGGGAGTCAGTTATAGAGGTGAACCCGTCCTCCCAGTCTTAACACAGCAACATATATCAAAACTTAAAATAACTTAGGTGTGTACACAACAATAGTACTCCATATTAAAGTCTTTTTACTCTGTCATGTTTTAAAGAATTATTTCATAACTTTAACTTAACTGTTCTGAACTACATCAACCAGAGGGTCTTTAAACCTCATGTGGGAATGAGTCCAGACTCTAAAAGAATACTTGCCCTGATCACCGGTGCAAAGTCCAGGGAAGACGCAAACCTCCCCTCACAGAACCTGAAAGACGACGGCATTGAGATCTACACTATTGGTGATTGACTTAGTTTGAATAGTGAGAAAACAGCAGAGCCTCAGAAAAGTTAAAGTGAGGATGAGTTCTGAAAAGCTCTGAAACTACAACACTTTACCACAAAAGAATTAAACACATTGAGATGAATTGAACACGCTACTTCCTGTTTGTCACAATGAAAACTTTAGCTAGCTAACCCTGTGAGGGACACAAAGTGCTACATTTGTCATTTGTGTCAGTTAATGTTTCATGCCATGAAAATCAAGTGAAGCATGTTCCAGGTCTTTGGAAGTTGATTTTAACAGTGGACTTACTGAACTAAAACCAGGCTGCTGCCCTGAAGGAAGAAGGTCCAGATGAAAACATGGACTTGCTTTAGCACAGAGTCAGCAGGAAAGTAAAGTACATGATTTCTAATTCATTAGATTAACAATCAGTAAGGTTAGCCATGGTTTAGTTCAGGCTTCAGGAAAACACAGTTCTCTTACTTTGCCAACCAAACAGTTTTCTTTGTTTGGGTCTCATTGTTGAGAGACAGTATTAACACAACATTATTCTTTCAGGTGTGAATGATGCTGACGAGAGTGAGCTGAGGTCCATGGCCTCTGATTCCAAAGAATCTCACATGTACTATGTCAAGGACGTCTCATTACTCCAGGACATCTTCAGCAACCTCACCATCAACCTCTGTAACATCACCAATAGCTTAGGTAGGTTTGGTTTTATTCTTTATCATGCATTTGTACCATAGTGGGCAGTACGGTGGTACAGTGGTTAGCGCTGTTGCCTCACAGCAAGAAGGTTCCGGGTTCGAGTCCCGGCTCGGACACGGGGTCTTTCTGTGTGGAGTTTGCATGTTCTCCCCGGCTAGGCTGATTGAATACTCTAAATTGACCATAGGTGTGACTGTGAGAGTGAATGGTTGTCTGTCTCTGTGTGCCCTGCGATGGACTGGCGACCTGTCCAGGGTGTACCCCGCCTCTCACCCAAAAGGATGCTGGGATAGGCTCCAGCCCCCCCACGACCCTACTAGAGGATAAGAGGTAGAAAATGAATGAATGAATGTACCATAGTGTCATTCTTCATGCCACCACAAGATGGTGCCAAAGAAATAAAACTTCAAACCCTACAAATAACTGCTGGAATATTATTTGTTATGCCAGATCCAGCTCAGCCCTCAGAGACCAGATCCATTATCCATTATTCTTAGCTTAGAGACTAACCACAAGTCAGATCTTTTTTCTGGGTTTAATGAAACAAAAACTACTAAAATAATAAAGCTTAGCTTTGTGTTTCTCTCACCCTGTTGTAGCTGCCTGCCTGTTACTACAACACCTGCTGCTACAACTAGTACCAGGGGTGGATTTAGTGGTTTGGGAGCCAGAGACAAACGCTGCTTTAATTTCACCCTTTCTCTGACTGGGAATATCTCAAAACCTTTGTCTTTAGTAAAACTATTAGGCAGTTAAAATACTGTCCGTACAGACACTAGGCTTGTTTGTTGAATGTACTAGGGATCAAGCAGTATAGTTTTTCCAGGGTAGATACCGATTATTAGTAATCAAGGGGACCAATAACCGATATTTGGAACCGATGTGACAACACAAAACTACTGCTACATAACACACATAACACTCACCGTGGCATCCAGGTGTCTCTACTATTATGTCTACCCCAATGATATCACTGAAGGTAGGTAAATTACAGAAACACCTGTATAATGTATGACAGCTCCACACATACATCCTTCACAATGATCATCAACATCTGTCTGAAACTATTTTAATACAAACTGAAGATTAAAACCTTCATGAGGGAGGATTTACTGCAGGACTGTTGTATTAGACCACATCAGTTTTATCTACATGTTCCTAATAAACTGATCACTGAGTGTATATTAGTAATTATCAGTCGTATGCACAGACTGCAAAGAGCCTGACTGGATTGCTTTCGGGGCTGTTATCACATGGGAACTGATTCCCCTGGTGACCTAATAATCAGCCAGACCGATAATTGGTCGATCCCTAATATGTACAGTATAATCTATTTGTTGTAATCAAGGGTTCAGGTGAGGTGATAACTTTACTTAACTTTACTTTTTCAGCCATTAAAATACTTATGCAGGAATAAAAAAAGAAGGTCCAAAGACCCAGACGCCCCGACCAAAGCTTTGTCCAAACAGTGGGCTGACCAGGGACAAATTCCAAGGCCATTATTTTGCCCCTGTGGGCAAAAGCAAAGACGCAAAAACAGCAGCCGTGAGAATCTGTATATGTGTAAAACACAGTCACTATAAAATCACAGACACAGTAGAGATTTCTTCAGATTCTTGTCAGTTCCTTTATTTCAGGAAGTTTATCGATCATGAAACATCACAATTTATCAAAGCAGTTTCCTTTTATGAAACGAAAACCCTCCTAAATACCCACAATTCTCAGTCCTCATCACAGATTAGTCAATTATGGAGGCAAACAGAATTCAGAATAACTCTATACAAACAGTGTCCGGATATTTCTTCTTCTTCCTGGTATAAAAATAAGTTCTAAGTGCTTCACACACTTTAATACTGTCTCTGCTTTGGCACATTCACAGCTCAGATGTCAGCTCATGTCGTCACGAGGAGCCGGCAGCTGCTGCTTTTAACGCTGCGCTCATGGTTTTCAGGAAAAGGAGCAGGTCACAGGAGCTTCAGTTTGTCTCAGAATCAGTTCTAATGTTGTCGTTTTCATTTTGACTCCTACTTTCAGATCAAAGATTAACGAACTACAGATTTGTTCTTGTAGTCTGTGAACAGAGGATGGTTTCACTGAGGAAATCTTTTAATCTTTTATTGGCTCAGATTTTTCTTCCAAATCTTATTTTTAAGCATCCATCATTTATCAGCCATAATTACCATCTTTACCTCAGCTCAACCACCGTAGCTGACGTTGGCAGTGGATGTAAAAACACAACACAAATATAATCTGGGCTTTTGCTGAACACTCTATTATACTGGTTTACGTACTCGTCAGGTGATTGGTTTGAAACATCTGGAGACGAGGTTAGTTTGAGGACTGCGGGGTTGTTTAGTCTTTTTTGTTTCATGAACCAAAGGCGTGAAAGTCAAACAAACAACAAACAATGTGAGGATGAAAACACTGAAACATTTTTACTGGGCAACTCCCCCCACGACGTCAGCTGTGTTTCCATCTACCTGTTTTTAGATGCACAAAAAGCAAAACGTTGCAACAAAAGTTGGTTTATCAATAAAGACTAAATGTGACAAAGTGTAATGGAAACAGCCTGAGTGAATAAACATGGAGCACGAAGATGAGCAGGCTGGAACATTCCTCCCCTCTCCATGTGGTTTTCATCATCTGAGCTTTGACTGGATCTTTTAATGACCTCATCCTCTTCTGTGGTGGTTTAATGGCAGCAACTGGAAAATCAGCTCCACCTGCTGTTTATCGCTACACAGCAGCAGTGGAGGGAAACAAGACTTAATTTGTATCAGCTGTAATGAAAGATGTGCGATGTTTGGATTGACACCCGGCGGCTGATAATTTGATGTTTCTGTTGCGGCGCTACTCGCTCCTACATACATACAGGTAGTCCACATAAAGCTTTCCAGAAAGTCCTTGTGTTGACATAAAGAAAGTCAGATATAAAGCCAGAAAGAGCAAAGTGAAAAACACAGAAAATGAACATTGGTCTCATGTTTTAGGGACGAGGGACAAAGGTTTATGACACAATGTTCATTTGGACTACAAAGAACTACAAAGTCCAAAAAGCCTCAGTGACCACAACAGAGTTTCCATTTGATCCCAAACCATCCAAATATCAGGATTTCTTCTCTTGGATTAAGACATCAAACAATTCATTTCACACAAACAATTGACAAATATTTTTCCTTCTTTGGAGACGGTCAAGAAAACCACTGAGATGGTCTGAAATACACAACAGTGCAAAAGACCACGACGTTCAAAAGAACTACAAAGTCCAGATATCTTCAAGACAATAAGGCAAGGTTACGAAACATGGACAAAATAATAAAAGCAATTTAGCCAATTCGGTTTTTGAATATTGTAAACATACTACTTCTAAAAAAAAAAGTGATCAAGACATTAATTCAAACCTACAGCCAATCTACTAGCTGCTTAATCAATTACACAATAATGGCAGGTGAAGAATGATGTGAAGAAACAGGTGGGGAATTAGTTTCAGGGCCACAGACAAGTCCAAAATGTTTTCATACGACAAGACGAAGCCCAGAGTTCTGGACATGGTTTTAATTAGTGGTTCCGTCTCCTGGTTCAAACCAAGGCGGTCGGTTGGATCTCATTCACCATGAAGCAGCAGCAAAAAGGTACATTCACACTATTCTGCTGTCTCCTTGTTGTCCTGAGGAAACTGAGTTCATGCTGAAATAATCAACCAGCCAATAAGATTTCACTCTGTACCTGCACTGATGTGGTCTAGCAAAAGTGTTGGAGAAACTTTTTTGAGGAACTGAGGAACTGAACTGATTTTTAAAAAAAAAAACAGTGTAGTGTGAATGCGGCCTGAGCTACGGTGTTTTTTCCTCTTTGGAAACCGTTGCTCTAGAAAACGCCATACCCGTCGGTGTGGCGCGTCGCCACGGCGAAGGCAGGGTAGCCCTCATAGGTGGTGTAGGCGGTCAGGTCCTGACCCAGAGATACTGCCTGCTTAAGCTGGGAGGCGACTGCTGATGATGCCGGGCTCGCCAGAGTGTAACCTGGAGAGAGGTGAGACAAAAACTCTTAACCTTTTATCAGTGAGGTTTTTACTTTGAAATGAAAGTCTGTAGTTATATATGTTAAATAGTTAGTGGGTAATTATACATTTTTGTCATATTTGACACTGTTGTTTTGTTTATATTCAAGTATACCGTCAGTAGTTTCATTGATTTTATCTGGATTTTCTGCCTGCAGAAGGAGGCGGCGACCTGATTTGAGTGCAGACATCATTAGTTCTTCTAACATGGGAAAAAAAGTTAATTCATGTTACTGACGAGATACGATTAATTTGTCAGGACTGAAAGTAGGCCTAGTTCTCAGCCACAAGTGGAAGGTGACACCCCCAACACCCCACGTGTTACGGCTTAGTACCACCCCCGCCTAATTTGCGCCCAGGAAAAACCCTGGAAATGCATTGTAGGAACGCTCAGAGCGACCTCGGTTTCCTGAGGAAGTGATGTAGCCGTTGTTAGTTAAATGTTGCTTGATTTCTCTCACTATGGGCGCCGTAGCCCTCAGTTAAAAGTCCCTATTGATCATCCACAGCTGAAGCTGTGTCTGATAGAAGAGTTTTCAAATTGTGTTTTAGTTGATCTTGGCAGGGAGGGGAGGGTGTAATTTATTAAGGTGTGGTCATTCGTAGATCGAAGGCGTCACCAGCTGTTCCCGCCCTCACTGTCGCAAAGCACTGCTCCTACTGTCTAGCAACCTTGACAACTATGTGATTTCATGTGATTTTTTCACAAAAACTTGAAGTTTTAAGGCCCTTGGGTTTAACAGTTGTTCCGTTAGCTGTTGAACTGTTTCTGTTGTTTGCTTTCATTACTGGTGCGCAATGAATCTTGGGATAGGTTGGGTCATGCAACAGGTGGATCCTTCACGACCCAGGAAAAGAACGTATTTGAAGGAACCTTTGAAACTGTGACACAATCCGTCTTCAAATGCAGCCTCTGAAAGATGTTGTTAATGTAGAGTGGTTCTCCAGGAAAACATGGCCGACTGCTCACCTCTCAAAGAAGGTGTGTTATTGTGGTGGGGGGAGTACCTGGTAACGTACAGGCTTTCAGGATCTCAGAGGATTACCAAACAAGAAAAACTGGGCTTACACAGCTTCCAAACAGACCTGAGAACAGGTATGTGCTCAGTTACGTTACGTCATGTTTCCCTATGAGCGAGAGAGAAAGAGGAGTGACCAAAAAAGCGAGTGTGTCTCGTATTGCCCTTCTCTCACTTTCGCTCTTTCAAGGGTAACGTGAGTGATGACAGGAAGATGACAAATACGTTTCATGGCGTTGTTAAAACAAAACTGTCATCACAAACTGACTGAGAAACTGAACTAAATGATGTGGTCTGTCTGTCGTTGCTCTTAAATCACAGCAGCTCCTAAAAACAACAAGCAGCTTCATTACAATCAGCTAATCGGCGTGTGTGTGGTTATATGTGGTTATACACATGAAACTGTGTTCATCCATCGGCACGACCGTAGTTTGCATGCAGACTGAGCGTCTGTTGGTCATTGGTGCTTTGTTGAGTGAAGAGTTAGTCTAGCTTTGGGTACGGACCTTCACATACCTGGGAAGGCTACTGAGGCCACAGCGGTGGCAGTAGCACAGCTGGCATCTGCGGTGCCCTCTGTCTGAAGGCCAAGCGTCTGCAGAGTGTGCTCAGCCGCGTGGATCTTAGCTTCTTCTACAGCCGTACACAGCTTAGCAGGGGTGAAGGGGTGGCTGCAGGCACACAGACCAGCCACAGTGAATCTAATGCAGCTGCAGACGGTACAACAGTTCTGATACAGGGGACTAATATAACGGGTCAGATACTTTAAACAGCAGTTTGACTGGTTCATGAGCAGCAGGGGTAGTAGTAGTATTAGTAGTAGTAACAGTAGCAGTATCAGTAGTATCAGTAGTAGTATCAGTAGTATCGGTAGTACTCGTACACATTGGGGTACTGTGTGGCCAGAGCTGGGACTGTGATCTTATACAGGAAGAGTTGTCTCTGGTCTGGACCAATGGCAGAGTGGAGCTGATAGACAGGCTGTCCCCAGTTATTCTTCTGACACAGCTCCTCCAGGACCTGAGAGACAGACAGACAGAGAGAGAGAGAGAGAGACAGACAGAGAGAGAGACAGACAGACAGAGAGAGAGAGAGAGAGACAGACAGAGAGAGAGACAGACAGACAGAGAGAGAGAGAGAGAGAGAGAGAGAGAGACAGAGAGAGAGACAGACAGACAGACAAAGAGAGACAGGTAGAGAGAGAGAGAGAGAGATGTCAGTTGGTGATTTGTGGGGTACAGTGTTATTTCTGACAGAAATGGACGACACCTGGTTTCCCGGTTCTCAGGTTCTCAGGTGTGTCCTGTTACCTGTGGTGCAGGTTTGATGGCGGTGGCCTTCAGGCTCATGGCAGCCGGGTTCATGGGGGTCAGCTCCATCCCTGGCAGCAGGTCGTACAGCTTCTCCTCCACCTGCTTGTCCGCCTTCAGGCCGTAAGGGGCGCCGCCACCTCCGCCACCTCGACCCACGGCTCCTCCCCCGGCGGCATAGGCCAAGTAGCCCCGCCCGCCCAGCCCCCGCACCCCCGCAGCCCCTACAGGTACAGTCATGTAAATTTCTACAGGAGACCGAAAAGGCAGTGAAATCAATCAAATCACCGGAAATCAGCCGGGAAGAAGAATCACACATTCAGACAATTATTCAATCAGTGAACAGGTAGAGTGGTAGCCATGGTAACGGTAAACCACCTTACATCTACCCAGTGTTCACACTACAGCGGTGGTCATGGTAACCATACAGATTATTTCTCTGAATTAGTCATTTTCCAGTTTTTATTTTTATTCAGAGTGAAGTGGGAGCTGCTGCTTCCTGTGACAGAATGAGGTGCACCCGAGGCTCATGGGTAATGTAGTACTTAGACCCATCTGCCCAAATGACAGGCAGAAGGTGAAATAATCAAAACTGGTGGCCAAGACACAAAGCTACAGGGCTGAGACATCATCAGAGGAGAAGAGGCCCCACCCACTTCACACCTGTATAATGTTTCACTTCTGATTAACTGGATCATATTTGATTCCTGGTGAACAACAACAGTCGGACATACAGATAATTTGAAAACAGCATTCTTTATATTTGGGCGATGGTGATTGGACGCCGGTCAGCTGGGCTTTTAAAGCTGTAAGAAGCAGATCGTGAAAATCATCATACTGGTGAACTGACCGTTCCCTAAGCCCCGCCTCTGTTACTTCTGCTCCGCCCACCAGTCTCTCTGGTCCGACCACATGTGCCATTTACAAAGATGACGGTGGAGCCATTTTAAAAATAATGGCTTCTTCCGCTACATCCACACTTCTACGTTTTCATCAAAAACTACATCACATGACCAATCACGTACATGGAGCATGTGCAAGCCAGTGTAAACAGGAAGTAGATTGTCTCCTCTGCAGCTGTAGCATTAAAACAGAGAATGTAAGTGAACAACAGCTGCTAGCAAAGACAACAAGGTCAGTAACAGTGTAGTCCAGGCTGATGAGAGCCAATCAGGAGAGACCGTGGGTGTGACCTCATCGTTTACAAAGGTCTCAGTTTCTGTCCCAGATACAACACAACCCCAGAGTTTTCAAAATAAAACACAACCCCAGAGTTTTCACAATAAAACAGGTCCACCAGAGTTTCCAAAACTCTTTGTTTTCAGTTTTGAAAACTCAAAGATGAGTTTTAAAAGGAAAACGTAGTAGTGTCGACCTAGGCTTATTTTCAGACAGGAGTCTCATCTCGAACGGTCAGTTCACCAACAGAAATACATCTGATCCTGAGGAAACTGCTGTTCTGTGAAAACCCAACATTTGTTTTTATCAACACGGTGTTTCTGAGGTTTGGAGGTTTTCAGCTGACAGCAGCAGTTTGCTTTAAAATACTAAACACACAGAAATGTTAAGAAATATTAAAGAAAAAGAGCAAGGGGAGCTCAGACTCACACAGAACTATTTCTGATTTAGATCAAAATACTGACAGTGCCTGTTTCCAGGGAGGGAATTCATGAAACACAGAGAACAATGAAGTTCATAATCTGAGACCCAAATGTTGTTTCTCTGCTAAACGACCTGAAGACTAAAAGCTGGTTCCACACAGTGTGGGTGACGCTCGGCGTCACCTTAGCTAATTCAGATAGGGAACGTGACCTCTCTCGCTACTGAGTGTGATTCTAGTTTGACCTACAGTGGATGTTTTACACCAAAGATACTGTTGGTCTCTCACTCTGTGACAGAAGGAGGTAAACTTGTGGGGACTATTGGCGGTTTTACCTCAAGGCGTTCTGGGTGTTTTCCTGAACCCCTCAGAGCATTGTTTTGCCTCTGTGAGTGAATGTGAGCTCGCTTTGCATCTTTATTTTCAACCCGTGGAGAAGTTTCACAATCAGATTCTTCTATTTAAGATCGTGAGTTAAGCAAAGAGAGTCCGCCCTCACCTCTGACAGACGGCGTCCTAATCAGACCTCGACCTCCAACGTGAGCTTTGGCCGCTGGGAAACGAAACTGACCTGGTATGGCAGCGTAGGCCTGGGGGGCGTAAAACACAGGTGCGCCGAGATATGCAGCAGAGGGGTCGTACACCTGGAGGAGGAGAAAAGTGTCAATGATACAATGTCTTTTTTATTACAGGAATCTGCATATTTACTAAATTAATTCATAAAATTAACAGTTTGAAACCGAAGAATATTCAGTTTGCAATAAATGAAACAGAAAATCACCAAGTGGTCACTGTGGACAAGCTGCCACCAGAGAAACTTTGGCAGTTTTGCTTAAAAACCTCAAACTGCAAACAGGAATAATGAATAAACAATAAATCTTGAGAAAGATGGGTGAGGTTGATGAGAAATGCACAGGAACTTTGTGTACATGGATTTATTTCATGTGCTGACATTGAATATCCAGAGAGGTGTTTCATTCTCCCATAATGACACTTTTCATGTCTATATGGCAGTTAGGATCTTCCTCTATCTGCTGATGCTGTTGTATGATGCCTCTGTGTAATGTAATGATTCAAACTGCCCACTAGATGGAGCTAGTTGTTCACACCTGAACATGCAGACATCATCTCAACAGGATGTAACATTTACCTCCACTGTGTCTGTGTGGAGGTTCAGGCTGCAGCTGTTCAGTTGATGGTGCAATAATGTCACAAAAAAATGTGTGATTGGCTCTTCACAGTACACAGACTCCATCTTTAAACCACAACGTGCCGGCTCATATAAATAGGTGGGTTATATAAACAGGTGTCATAAAGAAGGAAATTAGCTCTAGAGACCAAAACAGTTTCTGTACCAGGCTGTAAACATTTATTTCTGCTGTAAAGTTGGACATTTTAACATGGGAGTCTATGGGGACTGACTCACTGTTGGAGCCAGACTCTAGTGGCCATTAGAGGAACTGCAGCTTTTGATTCTTTAGTGCTGATGCTTGTGTTTTCAGGCTCGGAGGTTGATGCTTGATAAATACAGAAGTTCAGTCAGTTTCACGTCAGGGGTGAGGGTTAGGGGTTGAGTTGAAACTGACAAAGTCGACGTCAGGAGCCAAAAAACCACATGGACTGACGGCACCATAATATTACACAAATATGACTCTGCATAGTTTATTTATTGACACTGGAGATGAACACTAACAAAACAAAAAGAATGAAAGAATTTAGCTTTTTCTGAAATACTGTCAACATTTGATGTTGGGTATGTGTGTAATCATGTTGGTGACCTGATATCTGCCATGATGTCCGTACCAAGGATACCAAGCTAACTTTGCCATTGGTCGATTTGCATTGTTTGTCAAAGTGGTAGCTGTCAAAGATGGCAGACCCGTTTGCACACGTGTTACGCCAACTAGCTTAGTGTCAAAAGTCAGAAATTACAAGCTCCAACTTAATTATTTGGACACACGAACAGGTCGGAAAATTCAGGTCTCCGACTTGGCAGTGATATTGAATTACTTTTAACAAGTCATTTACTATTGTATGAGATATATTTACATTCTTAATATAATCACAAGTACATTCACCTTAGCCATTTTCCGTCTTGCTTGGCCACAGTAAACAGCTGCAGTAACTTGTTTGTGTGTTCCTTGTAAAAACAACAACAGATTGTTACTGCAGGTATCCATATTGTTTTCCGAGTTGATCATGTGACGGCACGTTTTTCAGAACAATGACGTCCCCACGTTTCCGAGTTTATCGTCGTCTTTAACACATCATGCGGCTGTGTGACATAGGGCCGTAAAGCGTTGAACCCGAGTTACAGAGAGAGTTTGTGGTGTGTTGCGTCTGTGGTACCTGTCCCAGAGTATAGGCCGTGTAGTCTGTCTGCAGCAGAGATCCTCCTCGCCCTCCAGTCCCTCTGGTGTAACGGACGTAACTGTCTTTGTCCACCGGCTTGGCCAGAGTCACCTCGATAGGAGACCCATCCACCAACTGAAGGAAGGAAGAGAGCAACACAATTTACCCCCTGACCATTCTCCACCTGTGTGCGTGACTCCAGGACAGCCTATACAAAAGGCTAATTGACGTTATCGTTGATGATGCAACAGACAAAGTGATGCACAAACTTTAAGAGTTGTTATTTTCCTTGGCTTTAAGTGAAAGGGATGAAACGTGGCTATCGTAAATTCTGCTGTTAGATGTGCTTCATGCTGTTTAAAGGTACCTTATAGTATAAAGGTAGAACTCCATGTCTCTTTTGATTATAAAGCAGTCTATCAATTGTTTGGCATTTTTTAATGAAAATGGATTTAAAGGATCAAACCAATGTGACGATGTTAACCTGAACATTTGAGGGTTTGGCAAGACGACATTTAAAGACATTACATTGGGCTGCTGGGAAATATAACATTCTCTGACAAAACAACTCACTGATTAATAGAAAAAATAATCTTCAGATTAATCCATAATGAAAATAATCAGCCTGAGTGGAAACCCTGTAAACAAGTAGGAGTGTCTCCTGAAATTGTGCCCCTACGGACCAGACCTTCGTTGCTATGGTTACTATAATAACGGTCATAGCTCGGTTAGGTTTAGGAAAAGATCGTGATTTGGGTTAAAGTAAGTACTTCCTCAACATTAGACGGTCTTTGTTGTCATGGTTACAATAAAAACAACGACATGGATAATAGAAGCAACAATGGAATAGAACACAGCTCTCCTGTGTCACATTCATCCACCACCACCTCCTCCTGACGTGGACTCTGTCTCTCTTTACACTACATCACCGACACTTTTCCGTTTGCTCCTGTCATCATCACTACGACCACTAGATGTCACCTGGCAACAAAATCCTCTTTTTTCACAGGACAGTCTCGTTAGTGATCAGGGACCCTGATCAAGAAGAGAATAAGAGTCCTGTCACTCAAATATGAGCGTGAAAAAACATGTGGAGCTGCTGACCTTTCCGTTGAGAGCATTCATGGCGTTGATGGCGTCTTCTCTCTGAGTGAAATGGACGAAGGCGTAGTCTCTGATCTTCTTCACTCGCTCCACTGCACCTGCAACACAAAAACCTCTTTCGTAAATTTCTGATTTCTGAAATTAACCCTCACTTTTCATCCATCAGTTCTGTTTTTACAAAAGCAGCTTGCACAGACCTGAAACTTGCTGAAACTGATGTGTCAGTTCTCTGATCATCCCTGGCGGTGCATTTGGCGGCAATCTGACACCTGAGCTTTGGGAGTTGACCACTTTATTATGTTGTGCAGTGCTACAGTACCTGGTTTGAGGCTGTTGAACTCTTTCTCGATGGTCTCCTCTGTGGTCTGCAGCATCAGGTTCCTGACGTACAGTATCTTGACTGTTGCCATGGTGTCCTCGTCAACCTCCACCTCTGGCTCCGCCCAGTCCACGGCGATGGCATGACCCCACAGCTGAATACGACCTGAGACAGAGAGGACAGGTAGGTATGGTCCTTTTTTGTTGTTTTATAGAGATGTAACTTCACACAGAGGGTCTGGTCCAGGGGCCTTAGGTCTGGAGTTGGTGGGCCCCATTAGTAATCCATCCAGGATACTAACAAGCCAATCATAGATCACCTTCCAACTCTGGTGGGTGGAGCACCAGGGTTGGCCAACCAGATTTCGGATGGGGCAGTCAGTGCTACTTCTGGCACATGTCCCAATTGTTGGGCTGCATGCTTTGTTAGACGTGGTTTACGAAGTTGTGGCCCTCTGTGTCACAAACCGTGGATCCTGTTGCATAGCAACCTTGACCACACGTTACTTTTTTTCACTAAAACTTTTTGTTTTAAGGCCCTTGGTTTTAACAGTTGTACCACTAGCTGTTGAACTGAGCTGAAACACAATGAAAGTGTTTGCTTTAATTACCAGCACACAATGAATCTTAGGATATGTTGGGTGACAAAGGATCCACCTGTTGGCGCTTTCGTTATCCAGGAAAAGGACACATTTGAAGGAACCTTTGAAATGGGACAGTCTAGTTGCGCCGCTATGATGGAGTTGGTCTTCAGATGTAACCTCTGAAGGATGCGACCCCTGGATTGGGACACAGCTAATGTTGCACAAAGAGTTGGTGTTACGCAAATGATCTTCCCCGTGTAGAAGCAATAAAATAGTTCCTCTATCTTATCACTGAGGCTTTGGGCCTCAGCAGCTCTTCATTATCAGACTGTTACAGAAGTGTTTTTTAAAACACACATTCAAACGTGTGCAAAGAGCCTCAGGTGACAAACAGACTGAAACCACCAGAAGTTTGAATGTCTTTATGGTCATTTCCAATATCTGATCACATCACTCCGTCATGTAGTCTTATCATCACCCACTGGAGCTCTTCTTCTATTGGACACTGATTCAATGACACTGGCTGTGATTGGCTGCTGATAACATAGTCAAAAGGAGACTTTGACTTCTTTTATTATGTTGTATTTAATTTTATGAGGAGTTCGGCTCCTTACTGGGTAATATTGGTACTTTGGCTGCTCTGAATAACTTGTTAGCGAAACCAGCTGCATGTGTTCATCATGTCCCAGAACAACGCCAAGCCATCACTTTACGTTTTTCTTCTGAGAATCAACTTTCAGAGACTTGAAAATCACTGAAGATCAGCATTTTATCACAGTCAGTATTCACTCAATGGTATTTTTTAGTGAAAGTGATTCAGAGAGAGCAAGTTGAGGACACACTAGATGAGTTGCCAAGACATCAGATTGTCCTTGAACACACCAGCAGGGGGATTTTATCAAATAGTCCTTCATCTTGTCTGCATTATTACGCAACAATAACTTCACAGAAAATGAAACAGGTTGAATATTCAGGCTTGGATATCTACCTGGCAGCAGTTTGCGGCGGGCCATGGCGGCTGCTCGGTGGCTCTCGTACTCAACAAAAGCGAAGCCTCGGTTCTTGGATTTGTCAGCAGCGCTGGGGTACACGATGACATCTACGACCCCTTCAGTGACCTTCCTCATCTCAGACAGGATCTCTTCATGCTTTTTGGTTTTAGGAATCCCTCCCACAAACAGACGACAGTTGTCTACGCTGGCACAAACGCCAAGGAGGCGGCCATTCCTGCGGTGATGAGAAAACATGAATGTTTCGGATAAATGTGGAACTTGTCAGATTGTTGAGGAGTTTGAAAACTTAGCCATAGTTTAAAATATTCATGCAAATAAAGATAAAACTAGAATCACCGCCTCATGGTTGTATCCCTCGTCCACTCAGACTAGTTTCAGGTTACATCCCTGTTTATCCAGAGTCATATAAAATATGAACTGTTTGTGTTAAATTTTGTCATAATTTCTGTCATGAGAAATGGCTAAAAAGTGGTTTGTGGGGTCACCATTACCTTTGACATTTGACCTTTGACCACCAAAATCTAATCATTTTGTTTTTGAGTCCCAGTGAATGTTTGTGCCAAATTTAAAGAAGTTCTGTCAAGGCGTTACTGAGATATTGTGTCAACAAGAATGGCACAGATGTATGGACAACCTGAAAACAAAATGGCTGTCGCTCTGACTGTCACTGGAGTGGAGGAATAAAAAACAACCAAACCCTGACCTGATCTCATAGTTGTTAAGCTGCTTCATGGCTGCCCTGGCCTCCTGTTTGGTGCTGAAGGTGACGAAGGCGTAACCTCTGTTGTTCCCATTAAAGTCCATCATCATTCTCACCTCGTAGATCTTACCAAACTGGGGAATAAATGGTGAGAGCAGCCTGTGAGCGTTGTAGTAACAATCATGGTGGATTGCTCAGGATCCCTAATGTTGACCCTCTGTCTCTCACCTTCTCACACAGTGGAACCAGTTCGTCTTCAAACAGATCTCTTGGTAGTTTCCCCACAAAGATCTCGCTGCCTCTCTCTGGTGGCGGGCCGTCCCAGCTGGGTGGAGGGCCGCCGTACCGCCGCTGGCCGTTCTCCTGAAGCACACCAGGAAAAGTGAAATAAAAAAAAACATTCAGTGACAATGATAATCGCATGTATGAGAGTTTGTTCAGCTGGACTCGGAGGCAGCTTCCTACCTGCCGCAGTTGGTATCCAGTGCGTTGCGTGAGCACCCGGAGTGCCGCCTCCTTCTGCGTCCCTGTCACTCCGTCCCCGCCTGCTTTCTGATTGGATTCCATTGGGTGTGATTGACAGTGAAATGTAAATCAGGGAAATTAGGGGTGCTCACTAGAAAACGAGAAAACAACAACATACGTGTTATTTTTGTTTTTGGTTCCTGCAAAGCTCTAAATCCTCCGTCTGTCCTCACTGAGACTGTGTGTCCTCACTGAGACTGTGTGTCCTCACTGAGAAGAGATGTCCTCAATGAGACTGTGTCCTCACTGAGACTATATGTCCTCACTGAGATTATATGTCCTCACTGAGACTGTGTGTCCTCACTGAGACTGTGTCCTCACTGAGATTATATGTCCTCACTGAGACTGTGTGTCCTCACTGAGACTGTGTGTCCTCACTGAGAAGAGATGTTCTCACTGAGACTATGTGTCCTCACTGAGACTATGTGTCCTCACTGAGATTATGTCCTCACTGAGACTATATGTCCTCAATGAGACTGTGTGTCCTCACTGAGATTATGTCCTCACTGAGATTATGTCCTCACTGAGACTATATGTCCTCACTGAGACTATATGTCCTCACTGAGACTGTGTGTCCTCACTGAGACTGTGTCCTCACTGAGATTATATGTCCTCAATGAGACTGTGTCCTCACTGAGACTATATGTCCTCACTGAGATTATATGTCCTCACTGAGACTGTGTGTCCTCACTGAGACTGTGTCCTCACTGAGATTATATGTCCTCACTGAGACTGTGTGTCCTCACTGAGACTGTGTGTCCTCACTGAGAAGAGATGTTCTCACTGAGACTATGTGTCCTCACTGAGACTATGTGTCCTCACTGAGATTATGTCCTCACTGAGACTATATGTCCTCAATGAGACTGTGTGTCCTCACTGAGATTATGTCCTCACTGAGATTATGTCCTCACTGAGACTATATGTCCTCAGTGAGACTGTGTCCTCAGTGAGACTGTGTCCTCAGTGAGACTGTGTCCTCAGTGAGACTGTGTCCTCAGTGAGACTGTGTCCTCAGTGAGACTGTGTCCTCAGTGAGACTGTGTCCTCAGTGAGACTGTGTCCTCAGTGAGACTGTGTCCTCAGTGAGACTGTGTCCTCAGTGAGACTGTGTCCTCAGTGAGACTGTGTCCTCAGTGAGACTGTGTCCTCAGTGAGACTGTGTCCTCAGTGAGACTGTGTCCTCAGTGAGACTGTGTCCTCAGTGAGACTGTGTCCTCAGTGAGACTGTGTCCTCAGTGAGACTGTGTCCTCAGTGAGACTGTGTCCTCAGTGAGACTGTGTCCTCAGTGAGACTGTGTCCTCAGTGAGACTGTGTCCTCAGTGAGACTGTGTCCTCAGTGAGACTGTGTCCTCAGTGAGACTATGTGTCCTCAATGAGACTGTGAGTCCTCACTGAGACTATATATCCTCACTGAGACTGTGTCCTCACTGAGACTGTGTGTCCTCACAGACCTGGACCCTGCTGATCCTGTTTTCCTGCTCTCAACAACAGATACGAGTCGTGTTTTGAAGTTAGCAGCAGGAAGGTCAAGGTCTGTCCTCTAATCATTGACAGAGACTCTGGACAAGCTTCAGCCTGATTGTCCATCTCTCTGTCTGACTGAGTGAAACATGCAACTCTCCAACAGGGTATTATGGGAGCTCTGGGATGAATTTATTGCGCAAATACACATTTTCGTACGTGTGCTGGACCGTTATTTAAATAAAATATTCTATGGCCTGTTCTAGCTTGAACCTTAAAGCGACAGTAAACTCAACATGACGGAGTGTTACTCTCTGGGTTTCTTCAGCGTCTCCGTCACAGTTTTCAGTACAGTCTTATAGAACTGATCATTAATAATGTAGTTTGGTCCATGTTACTGTTACAGGTGTTGACATGATTTAAATGGAGTCTGGAAGGTGTCAGGAATTAATTATTTCAGCTTTGTCCAAACTAATCAGTAATTAGTGTTCTTGAATGAATACATGTCCAACCTGAACACTGTGACACATCTGACTCCTCTGAGCCTCACACATGTTCCTTCATCAACACACACACACACACACACACACACACACACACACACACACACACACACACACACACACACACACACACACACACCGCGCACACACACACAACAAACACACACACACACACACACACACACACACACACACACCCACACACACACAGCACACAGAAGCTAGTGTCACTGTGCAGGTCAGGAAAATGTTTATGTGTTGCTTAGCAACAGTGCAGTACCAGTCCAGTTGAGGAACTATTTGTGTTGACGTAGCCAAATAAATGACAAAATACAGAAACAAATCATAATCTGTTGTTGCTTATTTAACTAATATAGCACTCGTAGAAGTATTGTGTAAAAGAAATACTGAGGTCGTGATGTTGAACCTGCGGCATTGAGTCATAGCCAAGAAACATCACGACCTCTTGTGTGATATTGCTTAAACATTTAAAGTAAAAACGTGCAGATATTGTCGCACTGACAGAAGGAGAAAGACCCTGTTTGTGTATGTGATTGTCAGAACAACACACACTTATAAACAAACACACAGCTAAGTGGCTACTTAAAGCTAACCCTTTGAACCTTAAAGAACGGCTGATGTAATCAGTTTAATGCTAAACAGGCTGCTGCTGCATCCATTAGCATGGTGACTTACACACACACACACACACACACACACACGCTTTCTTTCTGTTTAATTTCAAAGAGAAACTCAGAGAAAATGAGCTCTTCACATCAGAGAGGGAGAAAGAGACGACGAACAGGAGACAGAGAGAAAACAGAGAGGAGAGAGACAGGTCGAAGGTCATGAGTGATGATGATGATAACAGCTAGAAACACACCATCTCTTTGCTCATTACACACAGCAGAACGACTTGTAAGATCTTATTTTATTTTTATTTTTTTGCCTTTTTCTTCCTTTTCTGTAATTCCTCTGAAAATGTGTTCAAAGCCACAAACTTTATTTAAACTTTCAGTGGAGAACTAAAAGTTTGCAAAGACACCAAACCTGCCAAAGTGTGTGAACTGAAGCAGCAGATGTAGAATATCTCCATCAGATGCATATAAAAACATGGAAGTGCTACTAACACCTTGATAGGTTAATAAAAATCTTTATTCTGAATCAAAAGGTTTTAATTAATTTTTGAAGGTGAGTCTGTCAGTGGAAAAAACAGGCAGCTGTTCAAAAACCTGCTGCTGAATCCACCAATCAATACTGCTGACAGAGTGGCGTCTCATACGCACACGCACACACACACACACACACACACACACAACCTGTTTGATCAGACCGACGCTGATTCTAAACATTTGTTCCAGTTGATGAATCAAGTTTTCACAAATTTCTTCCTGGAAACAGAAAAATCTTGATTTCAGTGCAAAGTGTCAGAAAACCCTGTTTACAGATGTTAAACACAGCAGCTGGAAGCTACGGGAGCCTAGTCATACCAGGTCGAGAAAAAAGTTAAAGTGATAAAAAGTAACAATATTTAGTGAAAGTGACTTTTGAAGGAGAAATTTAACATTGAAATTTTAGTAATTATGAGTAAAAATATTTAGATTATGAGATATTATGTAAGTCAAAATGATGAAACATTCTGTGTAAAGAAATTAAATTTTCTATCTTCCAATTTGTCTTCAAAATAGTAGTCAAAATTCTGTCACTTATTTAGTAAAAATTATGAAATAATAGTAATTTCAAATTTTTACATATTTTTTTATTTTGAGGTACACAAAGGTTTTTGCTTGGCATCAATTTTAATTATATTGCCACACATTACAAATCAGAGGGTTTGAAATCTCTGTCCTACAATTTGAATGAGGAAATAAAAAAATGTATTAAATTCATCATTCCTAACTTTTCCCTTTTTATAAATAAACCAGACTCATCAATTTCAATCAATCGTCATTAATGAGTCACAGGTTGATCTTCAGCATTAATCACACGCAACCTTGATTGATGGCAGCGAGTTTAGGAATGTCCTACGATTCCCAGCATGCCGTTCAGCAAATCTGCTTTATCAGCCTTTTTTTCTCTCACATTAATCTCAGTCATCTGTTGGTTAACGTTTAGACTCTGTAGTACCACAGTTCATCCGACAGCAACACACAGCAGCAGACTGCACACACCACACAAACTCTAGCAATCAGTTCAAAGGTAAATATATATGCAGTACATAATATAATATATATATTAAAGTATTTTAGTTTAAAATGTTTCAAAATGATATGTAGGAAACAGTTTTACATCATGTCAACGATGTCCATGCACTGTGTTGCAGAGATAGCTACTGAATTTAGCATGCTAACATGCTAGCCCCATCCAGTCCTGTGATACCACTGTGTACCTGAAGAGGCGATAGTGAGTCACTACAGCGTCCAGTCGCAACGTTTCTTCTAGACTGGTAAGTGAACAGCTGTTAATGCTAACATTAGGTATGTAGCGATAGCAAAAGCTCACAGATAGCACATTTAAATAGTGTTTTAAGAACACATTTAAAAACATTACAGCTGGGGTTTATGCAGAAAAATTGTGACAATCTCTTCCCTGAACCCCCCCCTCCTTTTTTTTTATTTAACTGTAACTAAAGTCGTGTTAATATTTTTATCTTCACCCTTAAAAACTTTAAATGTGGCAGAAATGTAAATCCTCATGTTGAAAACGCCGTGCACATTAAAGGTAAAACATTAAAACACCAGTTTTTGAGGACATGCACATACTCTTGGTAGAGAGACATTCACTTGTTATCGCTCTCTCTCTTTGTCTTTTAGTCTATTTTGAATAACACAAACAGCGGTAGAGCGACACTTACTTTACACTCTCTCTCTCTCTCCATTATAATCCTGTTTGTTCAGTCCAGCCTTTCTGGTGGCTCCTGTTCATCACACACCAGTGAAGAAGAGTGGTCGAACGACATTTACTTTACATGATTTCTCTCTCTCTCTCTCTCTCCTCTCTCTCTCTCTCTCTCTCTCTCTGTGTCTTTAAAATGTAAAATTCAGATCTAAAAACTTTATTTGGATGAAAAAGAAAAACTCACCTGAGCAATTTCAGAGATCACCTCCCTCCGATCAGAGCTGTGTCATTCTGAGCACCGTGTGTGTGTGTTCACGTGTCATCATGGGCCTGTGTGTGTGTGTGTGTGTGTGTGTGTGTGTGTGTGTGTGTGTGTGTGTGTGTGATCACATCATATCAAACTCCAAAGGTTCACTGTCTTGGTGTTAGCTTTACGAGCCAGCCGACGTTAATGTTTAACCTGCTGCTATCTGTGGACACACACACACACACACACACACACACACACACATGCAAATACACAGATGTAACACACACAGACCTGTGTGTGTGTGTGTGTGAATGTGTGTGTGTGTGTGAGTGTGTGAGTGTGCGCGTGTGTGTGTGTGCATGTTTGTGTGTGTGTGTGTGTGTGTGTGAGTGTGTGTCTGTGTGTGTTAGTAGGTGAAGAGACCTTTGCAGAGCACTCTGGTCCAGATAGCGACTGTCGGTCAAAGGCCTCCTGACACACACACACACACACACACACACACACACACACAAACATGCACACTCACACTCACACACACACACACACACACACAAACATGCACACACACACTCACACACACACACACACACACACACACACACACACACACACACACACACACACACACACACACACACACACCTCCATCAGCCTTGATACTTTTAAATCTCTAAATTAAAGTAAAGTGTCAAAGCGTCTGTTGGCGTATGAACACATTTCCCAGCATGCATTGTGTTTGCATTAAAACTCTGTTTGTTCAGATCATGGCGGCGATGAGAGAGAGAGCGTCCGTCTGTCTCATCCTCATGGACACAGACACCTTGAAGGAACATTTTCAAACTTGAACATTCACTTGGACTCGAGAACTGATTAGATTTTGGTGGTCCAATGTCAAAGGTCAAAGGTCAAGGTCACAGTGACCTCACAAAACACTTTTTAGCCATAACTCACAGCAATTATAACAAGACTTCACACACAGTTGATATTTATATGGCGGAGGGATACGACCACGAGGAGGTGGCTGGTTATTTAAATGAACCCTGAGCCCTGAGCAGTTTCTGCAGGTGTTCCTGTCAGGCCGCCTCCTGCAGGTGAAATATTCCTTGGCCTCAGTGATGACCATCAGGTGAACTGGTCTACAGAACACAGCAGGTGCAGTTTTCATCCGTTCACTTCCTGTGAGAGGAGGAGCTGGTCGGCCTGGTACTGTTTAGGATTAGAGGTCTGGGTTTGAGTCCGACCGATGGTCCTATAACAGATATAACTTTAAAAGAACAGCTGTCAATCATCCAACACACACACACACACACACACACACACACACAGATTTATTCTCTGTTTAGTTCAGTAAATATTAACTGATGCTGACTGGAAATTTCCTGCATGTTTTAACACTGTGTGTGTGTTTGCGTGTGTGTGTGTGTGGTCGTCCCTCCCCCTTTGATTGAATCAAGGACCTCACTGTTCAACTGCCAATACACACACACACACACACACACACACACACACACATACACACACACACACATACACACCCTCTCTCTCCCTCCCTCTCTCTCTACATCTCTCTCTCCCTCTCTCTCTCTCTCTCTCTCTCTCTCCCTCTCTCTCCCTCTCTCTCTCCATCTCTCTCTCCCTCTCTCTCTCCCTCTCTCTCTCCCTCTNGGGAGGTCATTGAAGCTGTGTGTGTGGGAGTGTGTCTATGTGTGATTAATCCACTGAGCAAAGACAGTTTGAGCTGTTAAACAGCTGAGTGTCAAAGGGCTTTTATCAGGGCGAGTGGCGCCTGGACTGACACACACACACACACATTTTTCACACCACTCACACGTTCATGTACCATATCAATGCATCAAATGAGACTGTAGCTGCATATACACACACTCACACACACACAGTGTCGGCATGTAAGTAGATGGCCAAGATATCATTATCATAAAAAAAGCAGTTAAAAACACACTCAAGGACACACACACACACACACTCACACACACTCTCACCCTCACTCTCTCTCCCTCTCTCTCCCTCTCTCTCTCCCTCTCTCTCTCCCTCTCTCTCTCCCTCTCTCTCTATCTCTCTCTCCCTCTCTCTCCCTCCCTCTCTCTCTATCTCTCTCTCTATCTCTCTCTCTCCCTCTCCCTATCTCTCTCTCTCTCTCTCTCTCTCTCCCTCTCTCTCTCTCTCCCTCTCCCTCTCCCTCTCTCTCCCTCTCTCTCTCATCAATCACTCGGCTCACCTCAGGACCGGAGCACCGGAGGATGAGCGGGCTGGAGGCGGACGGTGCCCGGCTGCTGCGGCTGAAGGAGGAGCGGATCGGGCGGATGGAGCGGAGGCTGCGGGAGAAGGAGGAGGAGGCGGCGGAGCTGAGGAGGAAGCTGCACAAGTGTGAGTCGGTGCTGCGGGGCCGTGGCCTCTGCAGCCCGGACTGCTGGCCGGACAGCCGTCGCACCCGGCGGGCGGCCGGGGTGTCTGCCGAGCCGGTGGAGGAGACGGAGCTGCGGACGTTCTCCAAGAGCCACAGGTGAGGGTTCACACCTGAGACCAGACTGACTTGGTCTGAAACTACAGGAAGTAGTTCAGACAAACACGCAGGAGAAAATAGAACCAAATAAAACTGGAATTCATTTATTTACATGTAGAGATTCAGTTTTTGTGTGAGTCACTGAGAACGTGATAAAGTTAGAAAGTGTCCTGAGTCTACAGAGACACTGTGTTCTGTATCAGCTCATGTGTTAACTGGGCTCTGTCTATTCCCTGGAGAATACAGTGAACATGTTTTATTCATAGTAACATTAATTACAGCTCCTTTACGTATGTAGACCATAACACATTTTTTCATTTTTTCCAGTGAGTTTATTATATTTTCTTTCTTGTATTTTTCTGCTGTATTTGTGTGTGTAAGGAGTGAAACAATATTTTCTACAACCCTGAACTGTACGATAATATTTTCAGTGATTACCACTGAACATTTGAATATTTTTACAGGCGTTTGTGTCATTTTTCAAGTGTTTTTGGGGGTTGTTGGCAGCTTTACACTAAAATGAACATAGTGAGAAGACAAGCTTAAAGAAAAAAACCTAGACTCCAGAGGGTTAAAGGTCACACAACAGACAGTGTTGCATTCAAAGACTCGACTCTGCGTCTACAGCGGATTGTATTGTCTGTGGAAGCTGCATTGAGTTGGAAGGACAGTGGCTGGCCAGCAGAGGGCGCCACAGGACAGCAGCAGACAGACTTCCTGAATTAAATCAAACAGCTGGTTCAACAGCAGCACAGGATAATAATCACACTCATTGATCACCGATTGATTGTCAAACACCAACTTGAACATAAACACCCCCCTCCTGCTCTGACCTTTGCAAATATTATATATATCTTTTATTTTGAAAAGATAAGATCCCACAGGAGGAAATTCACTACAGCACAGTAAACGAGGTAGAAGAAATCAACCATAGATAAGAAGGAATGTACATTATAAGTACATATATATATATATATAAACTTATAATATATATATTATATGTAATTATATATAATGTATATTATATATATATATATTATATATATAATACACATACACATATATATATAGGTATATATAAGTGTTGCATTTGTAAAGATGTTTATATAATGTGCAAACAAAGAAATAAGTGATAGCACTCACATAAACTAAGAAAAGTATTGAAAATATTGAAATATATTGTTAGTGGAACAATACAACAATGTGTTAACATAAAAAAATGTACTTTTGAATACTTGTATAATATATACTGTATATATATATACTTGAATAGTAGTTTGTAGTTTTGAAGTGTGAGTTTGAATGAAGTTTGAATGTGTCGGCTCTTACACTGAGCTTTGATTTTAAACTGACTTTAACAGCTGGAGGATAATCCTCCTTTAACCACAGAAACAAACAGGACCCACATGTTGAAATAAGAAAACATGAAAGAAAAATACAAATAAAGTTGAGCCATTGAAATAATAATTAAATGAAAATGATGAACTGAGCTGAGATCAGAATAAATTATGTTCAGACAGAAGTTTATAGTTTCCTGACGTTTTAAACCTTTGTTAAATAGAGAAAATTAATGTTAAGGTCTTTTCACAATGGGAGGATTCAGTGCAACAACATTAACATATAGACTATAGTATTTAGTTGTGATGATGATGATGATGTAACTGTAGATTCATCAGCTTGTTCTTCATGACGACTCCTGACTGACTGAGAATGAATCTATATTCATGGATCTAGGCTTCAGTGCATCAGACAGGAAACAGCTGCTCTGTTGTTGGTGCCTCACTTTAAATGTTTCTGCAGCAAGGCATTGTGGGATGGCATGTCTCCTTTCCTTTGGTAAAGGAAGCTCCAGTGTTTCCTAAAGGAGATGAGAGAGGAAGCAGTGAAGCTTCTTTCCTCATGAAGCTGCTCAGAGACTAAAGATCATTTCTGACAGTCTGAAGCTTCAGGAGAGAAAAGACTTTTCCGTCTCACAGTCTTGTAGATCTCTCTCTCTCTCTCTCCTCTCTCTTCCTCTCTCTCAGCTCTCTATATATAATATATATATAATAGTATATATAAGCCTCTCTGTAGAGTTGTAGTCCGGCCCTGACACACAGACGTCTATAGGGACTGACCCTTATCCACCTCCCTAAAACAAGGACAAGGACACACACACACACACACACACACACACACACACACACACACACACAGGTGAGGAGGAGTTGAGTGTGGGTTTACTCCCTCTCAGACCTCCTGCTGCTGCGCGTTAAACTGATTAAACTAATGACGGTGATTAAACCGGAGCAGACCCCCCCCCCCCGGATCATCGGGATCTGCTGCCCTCCCTCCCTCCTCCTCCGGACTCGGTTTCCTGCCTGAACCTGGCGGAGAGTGAATGAGCGGGTCTCGGTTTCGGGTTCGGGTTTCCGGTGTCTTTTCTCCGACTCTAGGATCAAACCGGGAAAAGTGACGTGAGGTGTTCGGTTGTTGTGGATTCCCGCGGCTCCTCTGATGTTAAAATAAATCTTCCTTCACGACACTTTTCCTCTGCGGATTTTTAAAGTCACGTTTTCTACTTTTCCTCCAACACCTGACGGAGCTCGTGTTTCCATGTTTCCCTCGCGCCTGGATTTAAAACTCTACCTGCTGCTTCACGGATCCGGATCTCGGAGCTTCATCTCCGAGGACTGAGTCAGTTTCACTCGCTGCTCTCTCAGGTTATTGTGGTTCCTGGTGTCATCTTGTTTCCTGGAGGAGGTTTAATGTGGAGGAGCTGGAGGAGGAACTGGAACCTTGTTTTCTTTATCGTCTAAAATCACATTTTCCTTCAACAAAGAGCTGACGCTCTGCAGACTGGATTTCAAGGACTACAGTATGAGGCATCCTGGGAAACCTTGATGTGCCTCAGAAGAATCTAGGAAACCAAGAGAACTGTTACAGTCCCCCCCCCCCCCCCCGAGATACTTTACAGACCAAGAGAACCTGGAACCGCTGAATGAAAACTCGTAGAGGAACCCCGAGAACACATCCTAGAGGGACTGGCAACACCCTGATGTATGAACCTTATGAGCTCTAGAAATCCCAAAGACTCAGACTTGTTACTAGACCTTGAGGAAAAACGCAAAACTCTGAAGTGCCCAAATGAACCCTGGGAACCCACAAGACCTGAAGAAAGTCTGGGAGACCTTGAGGATCCCAAGAGTTTAGTACTTTCAGGAACTCCTCAGACTAAGAGGAAATCTGGGGACAACAGAAGAACCCTGAAAAATCTAGAAGAACCCTGAGACCTCCTCAGGACCCTCCCACAGGAACTATGGGCACCCTGCGGGACCTGCAGTATGCCCTTCAGGAGAAGATCGAGGAGCTGCGGCAGCGAGACGCCCTGATTGACGAGCTGGAGCTGGAGCTGGATCAGAAGGACGAGCTGATCCAGCGGCTGCAGAACGAGCTGGACAAGTACCGGTCCGTGATCCGGCCGGCCACCGCCCAGCAGGTCCAGGCCCAGCAACAGAACCTCGTCCTACAGCCGGACCAGCACCGCAGCAAGAGGCAGGCCATCTCCGCAGAGCCGACCGCCTGCGATATCAGCGCCCTCAGCCATGTCACGCTGCCCTTCTACCCCAAGAGCCCAGAGTAAGTCCACCTCTTGAATGAAAGTGAGTGAAACTGAAAGGGATAGTTGTGGTCATGTTCAGAGAGTTACCGGCTGTAGATCCAGTTTAGAGCAGCAGGAGCACCGGTACACTAGCAGAGCGATGAGCTGCTGTGGGCGGGGCCAGCAGAAAACACCTGCTCTAGACACGCCCATCGAAACAATCCAACATCAGTTCAAATGAAGCTTCATGTAGAATATTTTCAGCTCTTTATATTCCCGCCAAAACAGCACTTTTCTTTGGTTCTTCATTTTTCTCAACTGCTCAACCACCGTATTCCTACACACAAGCGCATCTACAGAGCGTGCTGTATCACGCCGCAGCTGCAGCTCAGCTGAGTGAATCAGAAAGAGCTAAACTTCACTTTGTTTTGATGCACAGGTGAGCATCAGGTGAGCATCAGGTGAGCATCAGGTGAGCATCAGGTGAGCATCAGGCAATTACAAACACAATCACAGACTAAAAATGCTGCATTCACAGACCGAAGGAAGTTACTTGTTTAACTTAAAACTCTTAATGGCTCCAACAGCAGAAACCAACTCTTCTTCTCTGCTCTGAAACAGTACCTCCTGTGTAGACTGTTTTTAGAGCAGAGAAGAAGAACTGACTTGGGAAAACCTGGTTTTATCCAGGTGTGAAAATATAAAGTTTATGAATAAAATATGTGGTTCCAGATCCAGTGTTTCAGGCACAGTCTGGTTCTGGTATCAGTACAAGAACGACTCTGAAAGAAACAGATATTTAACTTTTTTAAATGAACTGTGCCATAAATGATTTAAATAATTGATCAGGAGCTGAAATGATCAGCTGATTGATTGATAAAGGAGCAGGTGTTTCAGCTGCTGCTCTAATGTGGATATTTACTGCTTTTCTTTATCTTCTGTCAAACGACTAATTGATTAATTGAGAAAATAACCACATCAATCATTAGTTGCAGATTTTATTGTCCCACAGAAAGTAGATGAATTGTTGCATCATTATCTACCTGATGGACAGAATCCTATACCTTGATTCTTTACAGTGTCGGTGTGTGTTTCTGTCACAGACGGACTCAGTCAGTGAGAGACAGTCTTTGGTTTCCTGATGTGACGTCTCTGCTGTAGAAGTGGCAGCTGCTGCGGACACAGATCTTTATTTATACACATGAATATGAAAATGTGTGTGTGACAGTACGGGGGGGGGGGGGGGGGGGGGGTGACACCAGCTCTCGAATAACATCAGTTAACATCAGTCTCTGGATGAAGACTGGGTGTGAACCAGGCGGCATTTCTACTCCATGTTTCTACTTGTGATGATAGTTTCACCTTTTCTTCTTCTTTCAATCAGTCCTTCGCTCTCATCCACTACAATATAATGTGTTTTTCTTTCTGTCCATGCCACCAGTGACAACCACTGTGTGGTCCTCCCACACACACACACACACACACACACACACACACACAAAGCCAACCTGCAAGATGCTGACAGCGAGATGCTGACAGCGAGAAGTGGTGGGATGGTAAATGAAACCCTGTCAGTTGCCTGCCTGCCTGTGTGTGTGTGTGTGTGTGTGTGTGTGTGTGTGTGTGTGGGCTGTGAACTCCCACCAGCTCTCCTGCTGTCTGCAGTAACGCTCTCTGAGCCGACGAGTTAATGATCAGCTGAAACTCGACTCTCACAGATCTGCTGCTGAGAGAGGCTTTTATTTTGAAGGTGAGGCCTGTCCGTCTCCCTGAGACTGTTTCCCTCCACAGACATCAGGAGGATAACTCCTCTGTGATGTTTGTGCGTAGTGAGAACAGTTGAACGTGACAGTCAGTCCTCCACACGGCGACGGTCAGAGCTGGAGACGTCTGAAAACAATATGATGTCTGTCCGCCTCGTTCTGGTGGACACGATATCTCAGTATCACAAACGTTCGCCTGGACTCAAGGATGAACTGAGTACATTTTGGTGGTCAAAGGTCACCGTGACCTCACAAAACACTTTTTAGCCCTTACTCAAGACTTCACAGCAGTGGTTCATATTTTCTATGACTCTGGATAAACAGGGACGTGACCTGGGACTAGTTGGAATGGCGGAGGGATACAACGGCGAGGAGGTGATTCTAGTATTGATTTGATTTCCTGTGTTTGTCGTTAGTAGGTTCATATCACAGTCACCTGCACCTCTGATGTGATGAAGAGTTGTTGCTGTTTAGATTTGCTGCTGAGTTCAAACAGGATATGAAAGTCTCTCCTCTTTCCCTCCTGATGCTTTTCTGTTTTATATCTTCTTCCTCGTCTCTTTATCTCCTCGTTTGTTTTGTTGTACACCTCATCTGCTCCTCTCTCCCTCTTCTCCTTCTTCACTCGTTCTTCCATTTCACCCCCCCCCCAGACGCTCGTCTCACCCATCTGTTCTCAGGGAGACCTTTACTTTTTCCCTCTTTACAACAGAGTTATCTCTTATGCACTTCCCACGTTTCCCACGGTGCTTTGCAGCATCAGAAAGAGACTCAGAGAATTTCCTCACAGCTCATTTCTCAGCTGTGAATTTCATTTGGGCCAAACTGTTGTTTTCAGACAGGAAGGAGATTTTAAAGTTTAACACCCCAGTCTGAGATAATTCTCGAGTTAGTGTTCTGAAAAAAACCCAAAACATTTATTTCATTGTTTCTTCTACAAATATGATATTTATCATTTTAGAAGTATTTCGTATTATTCCACCTTAATTATGTTCCTGGTCATTTTCTAGAACATTTTGAAACAGCAGTGAGACCAAGATCCAACCTCCAGCCTGAAACATGAAGCTGCAGTTCCTCTAACGACCACTAGAGTCTGGCTCCAACAGTGAGTCAGTCCCCATAGACTCCCATGTTAAAACTTTACAGCAGAAATCAACATGTTTACAGCCTGGTACAAAAACTGTTTTGATCTCTAGAGCTAATTTCCTCCTTCATGACACCTGTTTATATAACTCACCTGTTTACATCTTATTAAGGACTACAGTTATGGAGGATTGAGGGTGTGGCCTCTTTGAGTGATGGGTGGGTGAGTATACACCAAAATCTCATGTTCCTCTGGTTCCTCTGGTTCCTCTGGTTCCTCTGGGTGAACATTGATCAGACCTCCACTGATCCACACTTGTTCAAACGGTTAAAGCTTTATAAGAATACTGTCTCGTCAAACCTCAAAACAACAATCAGCATCTCGTCCTCTGTGGAGCAGAGAACCTTTCTGAGATGAAGGAGAGATGAAATGTGGTTGTCGTCACTTTGTTGCGTTCAGGTGCATCAGGTACAATATTTCATGTATTTTTTGATGTTGACTGGAAGGCTCCGCCTCCTCTCAGCCTGTAAGGCTCTGCCTCCTCTCAGCCAATGGTAGTACAGTGTCGTCGCCTCCCCAGATGAGTTCATGACCTTCCTTCTGTCCCCCTCTCAGGTCGAAGTCGCTGATCAAGGACGCCATCTTGGACAATGACTTCATGAAGAACCTGGAGCTGTCTCAGATCCAGGAGATCGTGGACTGCATGTACCCGGTGGATTATGGGAAAGACTCCTGCATCATCAAAGAGGGCGACGTGGGCTCTCTGGTCTTCGTAATGGAAGGTGAGGAGACGTGTCAAAACCATGATGGTTTCGACTGGTTTTTTTTTGTCAGGATGTTGTGTTTTTAACTTGGACTTGTTTGTCTGTTTTCATGTGTGTTGTCGAGGGCGGGGCGATTTATCTGATTAATCTGATTTTACTTCCCATTGTGATATTGTCTTCAATGGAGATAAAATGATTATTGTGCCGCATCCTGCTTCACAACAAATTTAATTCCCCCTACAAAAACCACCATATAGCTTATATTGTAGACACACGTTACGTATATATCCATCCTATATGTTGATGTCATAAACAGTAGAGGCCAAAAGTCTTTAGTTTTCTCCAGTTTAAGTTTAAAACTAATGAGAAATTAATAAAAACATTTATGAACATATAGAATTTTTACATACATGTTGTTTTTAATAAACTTACATATACACATCAAATGTATATTGTATCATATATGGTCCCAACATGTTATACCATATATAAATTCATCATGTATACATATATATTTCAATATACAGTATGTACATGTACAAAGTTTGTATATGTACATATTGTATAGGGACATGGATGACATACATTACATTTCTGTCTGGCCGGTTTGAGGGTTTTGCTGTGACTCTCGTCTTTGTCTTCAGGGTTTGTGACTTGGACTTTTAGAGATTTTATCTTAATGAATTCGTTTCAGTTTTTTTTTGGGCTGTAAATGATGAAAATAATGAAACAGTTGTAGTTTAGTTGATGTCGTTTATCCAATCATCAATAGTTTGGTGTGTAATTGTACAAACACGGACCTTGACGACTTTATGTTTGAAGTAAAGACTTGCAGCTGTGTGGCCTGGAAACTGAGGAGGTTTTCAGAGCTTCAGTGTTGAAGTCGCTGCAGAAGTTTCCCGGAGCTCAGTCCGACCTTTAGACGCAGTTTTCTCGGCTGCTGGTCGTCTTCCCGGAACGTGTCAGACTCGAGTTGCGTTGCATAATGTGTTAGAACGCCTGAAGGCTGCTGAACGCTCACCTCCGTTCAAACGCTGCTCTTCACTTCAACTTTCTTCCTGTGCAGCTGTGACTTCTCTCCTCCAGCTCCAGCTCCTTGTTTTAGTTTTGTGACCATCGGTTGAAGTCGTGAAGCTGCGATGAGTCGAAACATCATGATGCTGGTGATCTCATATCAGCTTCTGGGACACAACAGACAGGAAGTGGACATGTTGGATGTGGGAGAACATGCAAAGACCTGAACCTCTTTGACTAACGTCAGACAACTACAGAAGACGTATGGATCCGTATATGATGATTATTCATAATAAAGGTTGAGTGTTGGTTCTTCAGTTTCCTCTGAAGGAATAATACGACTTTCCCTGAGGTTTTCCGTGTGGTAATACTTTTAAATATAAAAATACAAACATTTTGATGAAACAAAGCTTTTTAACAAACTAGAACCACCTCCTCATGGTCGTATCCCTCCTCCCCTCAGACTAGTTCCAGGTCACTTCCTGTTTATCAGAGTCAAATAAATTTTTTTGTGAGGTCACCACACCTTTGACCTTTGACCACCAAAATCCAATCAGTTCCTCCTTTAGTCCAGGTGAACTCTTCTTCTTCTTCTTCTTCTTCTTCTTCTTCTTCTTCTTCTTCTTCTTCTTCTTCTTCTTCTTCTTCCTCTTCCTCTTCCTCTTCCTCTTCCTCCTCCTCCTCCTCCTCCTCCTCCTCCTCACTTTAGAGCTGTTTTCTAATTTAAAAACCCAGTTTAGTTGGTGACTGTTAAAGGGACAGTTTGTGTTTCAGCACAAAGACAGAAATTACTCCAGACGTGAAGACAGATTATTTCATGTGTTGAACCTGTTTGCCTGCAGGTTGTTGAGAATTCAGATGCGCCTCTCTCTCTCTTTAGTGTATTTACTTCAGTGATATTTATAGC